CTTTTGCTCCTCGGCAGGCCTATTTCTCTTTGTATGTTCATACATAAATTTCTCTTACTAACACTGCATAAGCAGTCTGGCACCATCCTTGACAGATGAGCTTTAGGAACTGTTACAAAGTGGTTTAAGTTATAGCTCCATCTGTTATATCCCATCCTTCTGATGGAGATTGTGTTCACTGTGGCAGAATAAGCAGAATGGAAGATGTGTTCATATCCTCACCGACAGCAGCTCAGAGTCTGGTGCCTTGGCTCACACCCATCTTCTCAGCAGTTTTATCAATGATGCTCTGCTTTGTGTCCAAGCATGAAGGTGGATGCACATTTCCTTCTGCTGGTCCTGATAATTGTCAGCAGAGGGGAAGGACAGCGGAAAACAGGAGCAGCTCCACAGATCACAATGGGATCTGACTCAAGCTTCCTTTAGTTTAACTAGGAGGGAGGAGGCTGCCTTATAACTGTGCTCATCCATGCTCCACTATTGTATGTATGGCTAGGTAATGGTACCTGTGATGGAAAATCTGCCCATTATGATCTGAGCAAACTATAGTATCACTGCATGGTTAACAAAGGTTGTGGGGCAGGATTGAACTGTGCTGCCTTTCCCAGCTGGCAGTGCTTGACCCCACAGACTGTTGGAGTCAGAATTTCCTGGAGTTTTGTCCTGGACAAACAAGATTACCCGATGTAGAGAAAGCAATAGTGATCATCTGTGGAAAGGTGACAAAGCAGTGAATAAAGTGAGTTATTAACTCACTTTATTAACTGTGATCATTAAGTGATATACTAAAGTCCACAGTGGAATAGGATATACAGTTCAATGCAATCAGGCTTTTCCACAGGTGGTAAAACTGCTATATTACTAAGAGCTAAAAATCAGGGATGTTTTACTGCTGTCAAAATAATTTTCATATATGTTCACTAACAATAAACACAGATCTACTAAATAAGGTTATAAAACTATTGAGCATGAAAAAATAAAATATAATCATATTTCTTAGATTTAAAAGGCGTAGAAGTATGTCCAGTATTATGTCCAAATTTATGCTATTGAGAAGCTCAACTGCCATAAACTTCCATCTTTTGAGTTCTTCCTACAATGTTTGAAGAACAGGATTAAAATATTCCAATTTGTACATTTTCAAAACTAACGTCAGTGGGAAAGGATCAATTACTTGTGCTATCATAATGGCAAATTAGATGTATTTTATTTCTTTCAGACATCTTTATCAAGAATTGCTACAGAATCACAGAATCAATGAGGTTGGAAAAGACCTCTGAGATCACAGGGTTCAACCTTTCACTGAACACCATCACGTCAACTAGAACATGGCAGTAAGTGCCACATCCAGTCTTTCTTTAAATACCTCCATTCAGAGAAGGAAACAGAGCCTAGAGCAGTAAAACAGCTACAGCAGTTTATAAAAAGCAGCTTTAATCAGGGCTCTTGTTGGTAGAGCTCCACAATAGACAGAGTTCATCATTAATGACACCTCAGGTTTTCTGTCTTTTCTGCATGCCCATCATATCAATCCCTTGAAAAAAGGCTACATAGCTTACTTTTGCAAAACTTCTCTAACAGCATTCAAAATGGTTCTAGTAGCAATAAAACAAATAGCAATGAGAACGTTTGGCTGCTGATGGAGAAGACAATAGAAGAAAAATATGGCATTCCTGAAGTATTTCTTGAGATTCAAAATTTTATTGAGATAGAAACACAGATTTTTAGCCTAAAATTTGAATTTGAGGAAGTTTTAATCTATATTGAGGATACAGCCAAAATGCATACTTCATCCCTTCCCTCTAGAGAAGAGATTACTGTCAGGACTGTGTGCAGGATACAGCAAAAATTAGGGTATGTCAAGGACCTGATTATGGTTCCCTTATCCTCAGAGCATGTCTCCATCAGTTTGAGCCACAGTGCTATTTAAAACTGAACTGTACTTTTTCCTGGCTGACTACAGTCCCTAAGGGAACATCCATCAGCCAAGCAGAAGTGACTCATGCAACGCCCCAACCTCACACCTGATACAGTCAACCTCAGGGACAACTTGTGAAAGAACTGTCAGAGCCATCCTGAAACTAAGCAAACACTACCTCACTTGAGTTTTCCCACTGTGCAACCTGCCTGTGGCTTTAGCTTGTGTTCTGCAGCTAATGTGAAAAAACTCTCCGAGTCTTTGGCTCTGCGAGTTTCTAAGCTGCATTGTTAAAAAGAGTGTTAATGGAATTGGCTAAATCCCATCTTGGATTAAAAATGTCTTGGAAATAAAATCTGGAAGACTGCACCAGATCAGAGGTGCTCAAGGCAAGCAATTTAGGAGGAGCAGCTGAAGTCCTCTATATGTATGTCTCACAAATAACTGCAAATTAATATGTCTTTGTGGAAGCAGCTCCATTAAGGCTTTAGTTGCTGAAGTGTTTTTAAAACTCTTGCACAAGCCAACCCTTCTAAGTGCTACAGTTTGAATTGATGAACTCATCAGCTCAGCTGGAAAACATATCAACTTGGACATGCATCTGAAGCGTGAATTGCATTAACACACAAATTTAATTTAAAGGAAGAAGCTCTTTATGGATTTTAAAACTAGTACTTAAAGTCTACAAATTGCTCCAGTTAAACTGCTATGATAAAAATGGCAAAAAAAAATGTTCTAGGGATGGTAACCATTGATTTCTATTTTATGCTAAATTAGAGTCTACATGGCTCATGAATAAACAAATGGTAAAATAAGATTTGAGAAAGCACAGTTGCAAAGAAAAACGTTTAAAATGACTGAAAAATCAGTCTATTTCTGTATTTGTCTTTGGTTTATCACAACTAATAAAATTAAGTAGAGCCTAGCTTTGAACCTTGATGAGGCACTTTTAGTAGAGAGACAAATCAGTAATTTAGTCAGGGCCATGCTTCTACCCCAGCCTCTGGCTGAGGGGAAGATTACACAGAGCCCAACCTTACACAACATCTCAACTGTGCTGAAAGCGTTGTATTGTTTTATTTAAATTTGCATCTAGTCATTTGGGGAAACTGGGCATACCATGCCATAAAGCTCTTAGGGAGCATCCAAAGGAGGGCAATGAAGATGGTGAAGGGCCTTGAGGGGAAGCCGGATGAGGAGCGGCTGAGGTCACTTGGTCTGTTCAGCCTGGAGGAGACTGAGGGGAGACCTCAGTGCAGTCTTCAGTATCCTCATGAAGGGAAGTGGAGGGCCAGACACTGATCTCTTTGTGGTGACCAGTGACTGGACCCGAGGGAATTTTGTAAACAGACAAAGATTTGCATTTATGAGTGTTTTCAGAACATGGTCTTGTACAAGGAAATACCCATAAATCACAGGGACTTAAGAATTTCCATTCCGATTCAGCCTCGCCCTTTGCTCCCTTCAGGACCCCCTACACAGCCCCCGGCGGCCCCGCACCCTTCTGGCCGCCGTGGAAGCTGCACGGGGGTCGCACCCGCGCTGCCCGCCCGCTGCCACCTGGCGGCTGCACAAGGGCCAGGACAACCTGCAGCCGCGGCTGCCAACAGACCTGGGCAAAGCTGTGAAGCTTTAGAACAAATAAGGGAGTAGAGAATGTGTGTTTGAATAAACATACAGCATTCATGCACAGAAGCACTAAAAGCTGAAATAAGAACTATTGATAAATAATGTAGATTTCCCAAGATCACAGAGAGCCTCATAAGGAATATGGTACGCTGGAACTTGGTTTCCATCAGCCACTCGCCTACCAGACCACAGAAATGTCTGAGCTCTGCTTTGGTTCATGTCGCTCAACCAGGTAATACATTTTTCTGAAGTACCCTCTAGCAGTAACTTCAAATATGCACTTGGAGTTCAGCAAACTGAAGAGCAAAAGCCTCTTCAGGCTCTGTTCTTCAAAAAAGATTTTAGGCACCAGTGCTCAGGGTAGAGTTCTGTACCTGTTCAGCTCAAACCAGCTCACTGCTGGGGGCCTTACTCCTTTCTGCTGAAGGCTTTTTGTTTGTTTGTTTGTTTTAAAGATTTCTCAACTGAATTTACAGTTGGCTTCAAAGGTCAAAAAGAAAGTCTGAGGACAGAGACATAAATGTGACATGGTATTTTTGTGCCAAAAATACCATTCTATTTCTCAATTTGCTACTAGAATTACAACAAAAAATTTTTCACAGTGCATGTAATATGCCTACAACTGAAATGTTCAACTAATTTCAATAAATTACATACAGACCAATAAATCATCTTGAAGCCATGTTGTTCTTTATGTCACTATAGCATACATTAAATATGGATTTAAAGTTTAAGATGAAAGTATTTCTTTAGCAAACTTATTTACTGTGTCAATTTTAAATTAGCTTTTGAGGGATTTCAAGGATATTCAGTATTGGTTGTCAAGTTTGAAGACTATTCTTAAAAAGCTGCGCACAGTCTACATGTATTTTTCAAATCATTAATTGGTAAAAAGCTCTACGTAAAGCTTGAAGTCTACAGATTATGTTCACTTTTCTTACCAGGAGCAAGCCAGCACACTGCATAAGAAATGAAGAATGTCAATAATAATATTTCAATTAAAAAGATGTAAACATTCCCCTAACCCTTAACTTCAGTAAAACTGTATCACCTTGAAAGAATTCAAACCCATAGAATATACTAGTTGGTATATTTTCTTCTTTCCACACAGTTATTCTATATTCTTTTACATTTAAAAGGCTTTGGGTCCTCCCTTCCTCCAAAAGGGGGGAAAGGTATGATTTGAAAATCAAACCTGAAAAAGGAAATAATGCAGACTCATTCTTTATTAAAATCTTTATGGTGTATTTGCTGAATGTCATGGATGATGTAGCTCATTAGGATCATCTCTCTGAATAGATTTTGCAGCAGTGAAAAGTGGAATGGAAGAGAAGCCTGGTGAAAAGTTACTGGGGGAAGTTAAGAAAAAAGAAACAAAGAAGGAAAGGGAATGAGAAGAGAAGCAGCATAGGACAGAACCAGCACCATTTCCAACAATGATAACACTTTCTCATCAGATGAAGCAAGAGCTGTTTATCAAGTAAATAAGGATATTAAAAAATGTATTAAAAGGTAATTAATTATTATTATGAATTTTACTCTGACCGCAGATTCCCAGGATACCACTGAACTAGAGTAAGTTTGGTCTACCTTTAGGAATTGTATCTGTTTTAAAAAAATAACACTTTTCGGTCGGCAAAACTTTAATAATGACACAGTAAAACAACTATACAAAAATCATGTACATATTTTGACAGTTTAAATAATAAATATATATATATATATATATATACTTGATTTTACTTTGTGGAAAAGCAATTTTTGATAGTTTTCGATTGTGACTGGCTGTAGCTGAAAAACATCCAAAACCCTATTTTTCTCCAATAGGGCACTTGGAAGTTTGACAGTTCATTGGATTTGTAACAAGAGACTTACTGTAATAGTAAACCAGTAAAGTTGTTTCAGAGGCAATGACTGGAAAACAACAGAATACCTAATGTCTGCCTGTATAGTACTGCTTTGACATGAGGAACAAGGAACTGTGGGTCAGAAAAAAGCTGGTTTTGCTTTTGGGGTGGTGGAAACCAAGCTACAATACAGCAGCCAAAAGATTTGAAGTATTACAAAGCACTTGGGCCTGCAATATTTCATTTTCCCCCATGGCTGCTGGAGCCATGAGTGTAACAGTAAGACTTTAGAAACAAACTGGAAAACCTCCACTCCTTTCAATTCAACATTATCATCAACTAGATTACAAAATTCAAGACAGCTAAATAACTTGGATTTTTGGGAAGGGGAAGAGGAAGAAAAATAGTGGAAAAAAGAGTTTTCTAGCTCCAAATGGATTTTACAATCTCAAAAAACCCCCCAGGCATTTCTCTGAAGACTTACGTACCAGTCTGCCTTGATTCAGAAACACCATTAAGATATTTCAGATATGACAGAAGCCTTCAGCTTCAAAATAAAATAAAAGTGAAATATTTGAACTAGACCACTAGATTAAGATGCTATTAAAATACAACCATGAGGGTCAATAAAAGTAATTTCTTTATGTAGGTGTAAAGAAAAGCTATTTTAAGTGTGTAAGTGACTAGCTAGATGTGGGTACTTCCACAACACATTAATGCTTCCAATTGCTTAACTGTACCAGCCAACTGTTGATATGACAGAAATTTTGTTTTAATTATAGGTCTCAGTTTTGTAGCAGAATATATACAGGTATTTCTTTCTATATTTCTCTTGGAATTTGATAGGTTACAGGTTTAAGGGGTTTTTTTTGTTTGTTTTGTTGAGGTTTTTGGGTTTTGTTGATTTTCTTGGTTGTTGGTTGTTTTTGGTTTTTTTTTTTTTAAATTTTGGGCACCTAGTATTTAAGGGACACATATGCAAATACACACAAGAGAACTCCGTAGATATCTCAGTTTTAAAGGGCATGTTTTTTCTCTTTTTCATACAATCAACATTCTTTTTTGAAGTCTTGCCTCTCCTGCCCCATGTTACATTCTCCACTACAATTCGTTATTCAGCTGTGCAGACTTCAGACACTGGTATGTAGTACAGCATTAAGGAATTTCCTGAGTCAGGTTTATTCATCATTACCTGTAAAAAGAGGGAGAGAGACAGTGTGAAAAGAAGAGACACGCACAGACACAAAGTCAAGCTGGGGTTACAAAACAAACTAGAAACCACAATTTAGTAAGCAATAATACAAGAATGCACGAAGTCTGTCACCAATGAGGTGACCATTAACAAAACAGCCTTGAAGCACTATATGTACAAACATTGAGCATCATGTCATCTTGGATTAGAGAATTTAAGATAGTTTCACCTCAAGTGGCCTGCTTTAGTTAGAAAAATCCTCTTAGGAAAGAGCAATACAGATTTTTTTCTAACTTTTCTTATTTGAAGAGTATAAAGCTTTTGAGACAGAAGCTCACGAAGATGCTTCTGTCTGTCACTTGTCCTCTATTCACCCCATTAGCATAAGATTTTTTAATTTAAATGTCTGAAATGTAAAGAACTACTTTTTCTTTCGATTTTTTGTATGCTACCACTGATTTGTAAAAAATAGAATTAAGACGGAATCTATTAAAAATAGCCACTTGTTAATCAGCATTTTGCAAGATGAAAGTTAGCTTATTTTAATAGGATTCACTCAGACAACAGCTTATAATTTATATGCCAACATTTTAGCAAATTTGCATCTAAGCCTTTTAGTACTAGTTTTAAAATACCCTTAAGGCAGAGTGGCAAGCAAAAGAAAATGGTGACACTATAGTAACCATTTTCTTCTTGTTCTATATTGCCGGTCCTTTGGACACCTGAAAAATTAACTACTACAATATATTTTTCAAATTCTGTCATTAAATCCATAAATTGTAGCTGAAAAAAATATTTTCAGATATTTCTCTGTCATACTTCTGTAACACAGCATGAAAACAACATGGAATTGATTGTTCTTACCGAGCAGTCCTATATCAGTAGAAAAGAAAAATCAGGAAAATGTAATTTGTATTAGAATTTTTAAAAAATTATTATGTTTTTAAAACTAGTTTTAAGACTTTCCCCCCTCGTGTATTTACATACAAAAGCCATAGAAAGCCATACACTTACTTGACCACTTTTTAACTGCTATTGCAACACATTTGTAAAAGGATTTAAAAGATGCCAAAATACATGTTGGTTAACATGCACTCGAATATTTTTTTCAAAATTGAAATACATTAAATAGTGATCATTGCACACATTTCTAAAGCCAATATATGATGCTTTTGATTTCTATAAACCTAATTAGGATTTTAGATTGCCTTTTTTACCCTCTCTCCAGTAAAGGCTTTCATCATTAGAAATCTAAAAATACATAACTGCAGTTAAATTTTTGACATGAGAGAATGAAAAAAACCCAAACCCACACTCTCACAGATAGTGGTCTGTGTGCTCTTTCCATCTGCCTCATAACCTGTTGTAAGCTACCCAGAGCTCCAAAGCAAGATAAATTCTCTTTATGTATTATTGAGCCACCAACTAAGATGTACATATCAAGGTCTTCTGAAAAGTGATAATTATAAGATAAAGAGCCCAATGAAGTTTGCAGAAAAGCAGTGATACTGCAACCTGTTAAAAGTAGTGTTTTACTATTTTAGGTAAAAGTTCATTAATTCTTACGATAAAATTGTTTTTAATTCTGAAAGTTTTATTCTAGATTTCCACTTTCCCCATCTGTGTAAGTGTTTTACAGAAGTTAAATAATTACGCTGCATCTTTTGTAAGGCAATTATTGTTACAGTTGATTGTACATGTATATTCTGTTAAATCAAAGTGGTCAGCAAAGTTTGCCATGTTTTATTGCAGGAATAAAAATACCCTTTGTGGAAAATTTTAATTAATTTAGCCAATCAATACAACAAAGTACAGATATATTCTATAATTTGTGATTCTATGATGTTTTAAAAGTGTGTAGTATATGACCAAGAAAGAACATAAGACAAGCCATAACTGCCAGGATACAGTGAGATTTACCTTCTTGGTAGGCTCCATCTGCCATTACTAGGTGAAGTATTTTGGCATAGAGATGTTTGTGTTCATTTCCAAGAACAGTCTGAACTACGGCTGAACAAATATCAATATTTTCATCTTCATCTTCAAGTATAGCCTAGGGGAAAGGGTAAACCATGTTGCCAAAATTAAAATGGGTTTAGAATCAAATAGTTCAAATTTATTAAATGCAATTCCTGGTTAAACCCAGAGTGTCCTCTTTAATCCACTGGCAGGGCATTTTCTCTGTTAATACTTTAGTGTGTCAAAACAGATTAAAAAACTATAGAAAAAAACTTTGAGTCTGCAATAACTGTCACAGCAAACAGCTCTAGCTACTTGTTTCCTAAAATATTTCCCATTTGATGTTATTCCACAAACCTTTATTTTCTCATAAACTTCAATTAATTTATCAAAGCCTATTTCCTGCTCCAGGTTATATCTCAGCTCTTCCAAATGGCTGAAGATACTATCACATTCTTCACATTCACTGGCAATCTCTCCATCACTATTATCTATAAAGAAAGAAAACAACAGTAAAAAACCCTCAGTTTTCCTGCATTGTTAATGTTGTTTCTAAGCCCTTAAACTTGATATCCTTTTAATCTGATCAAACAGGTAAGCTCAGGAGCACTGGATGATGTTGGCAGATGTTCTGACAACGTGCAAGAAAGCAGGAACAGTCTCTTACTTGACAGGAAAGAAATTCCAAATCTGAAATGGGAAGCATCCAGCTACCTCCTCTAAAACCCCACTTTGATAGTTACCCGTAAGGGTATTCAGACTGAAGGAAAACAAGGCATGGTCTTATAGCAGAATTTTATTTAGCAAAGTGGGTCAAGTTCCATCCAACCACTCTGTATACATCTGTGGTAAAACTCATGCAGCCTTCAGTGGCTGTCCCATGCTAGGGAAAGGAGCTCCTTAATGAAGCAGCTGTTTCTAGCAAAAAATAAGGATATATATATTGCAAATTCATTATATATATATCTACCTATTATATATATATATATCTACCTATTATTATATTTTCTACCCTGAGATGCATCTTGTTCCATGGAGCAAGTCTAAAGAAACCCAGTACTAATTTACAGAGTTCCTCATTCTTTTATGAGTGCATCTCCTTTGTGTAGCAAATTCAGTACACCAACTAGTGAAATAAGATACAAGAGAGAAATCAAAATAATTTTGCTTATAGGCTACAGAAGCCTTACAAATAGGTTCATAACAGTCAAACATTAGGTAACTTTAACAAAAAAAAGATATTTTAAAAAATACAAGACAGAATCCCTGTGTAAAATCCCATTATAAAATTCAAACTGGCTTTGCCCAAGAAAAAATACTTTCTTAAATAAGCATTCAAATTAGGAAAGAACTTATCTACCAGGCGAAAAACACAAAAATTCTTAGATTTCAGAGCATATACTATCAAACCTTTAAATAGTATTGCCTGGTAGGTCACAGACTTCATGAGTTAGTATTAGAACTCTACTACTTTCAATTCCTACACATGACTAAGTGTAAGGTATAATCCTAACCAAATCATATCCTTGATTCAAGTATCAACAGTCAAGTCAATAAGAAATTATTAAACTAAAAGTTGATATGGGTTAAAAACCCATTAAGTTACTTCTTATCCTCTATCTAACTTCTTGATCCTGAGCAGATTTGGTGTCCAGTTCAGTCCACTACCCTTTTGAAGGCTGGCCTGCCTCCCTCCCTGTCTCCCCCAACAACGAAACTTGCAATTTTTACAGAGTATCATGAATCTAGAAGGTAGGACACTGACATTAAACACTAACACTTGCAACAACAGCAGAATCACAGAAACAGATAGTATTATACGTTATCAGTGTATAACATCGGCACTGTCAAAAAATTAAAGATATTACCTAAGTTTATTTTACCTTAAAGTAATTTGTGGAATGTATTATATAGATAATATCTTAAAGGTATATTCACAAACATTCAATTTGTTTAAAATTGTCTTCAATAAAACAAAATTACATAAAAGCTATGTTTTAGATTAGTTACTGATTCTCTACATGTTTTTATACTTGTATTTCTAAATGCACTTAATTTTACAGCAGGAGTAAAATACTTGTACTTCTACCAGAATTCAAAAACAGAACTAAGACTTCAGGACACTGTTGTGCATATCTAATGCAAAATGTTAAAAGCAGTAATAAATTTATCTGTCTCATTTTCAGTTGGACTGTATTAATACCTAATTTTGGCAAAGGACAAGGTGAATAATTTCATGTTCCTTTTGACTGCCTGTTAAATTACGTAATTGTAATTTAAGCTGGATCCCAGATACTCCAGTCATGTCAATTGTTACTTCTTTTTCACACTTACAGTCATGAATTATTCAAAACATACGATGCACTCTGCCTTTGATCTTCCTTGAAGACAAGTTTTAGGCAACTAGAGAAAAAGGCACTTACTATCACAGCCCAACAAATAGCCAACATTTAATTTGGAATATTCAGTGTTGGTTAAATGTTGACTTTAACATTCAGAAAGTCTGAATATTATCTGGATTTTTTTTAAGCTTCTGTATAAAAACTATTAATTAGAGCTTTAGTTCATTCTAAGTTTACAAAGCAAAAACATTATTCTGTGTTTGAATTGTTAACATGAATAAATAACTTATAAAACAGGTATAGGAGAAATTATACCTGACTGCCATTCTTCATTAAGTGCACTTTCACTGCTGGGATTATTTTCATCTCCTTCATCCAGCTCAGTACCATTTGTTATGCATTCGATGACATTAGCCTTTAAAGTAGACTCTTCTTCTTCACTAAATTCCTCACTAGGCTGCTCCCTAAGCAATTGTTCCATTGAATCCCGGAGCTCCTGCAAATCTGTATCTGTCTCTCCAAACATACTAAAAGAAAGTGATATAAAGTTTATATAATTAATACTTTACAAGACAAACCCTGTAGAAAGAGCTCATTTCTATTGTTAAACAGCAAACTGAAAAGCCAATCTAGCTGGAGGGGAAAACCAAACCAAACCAAACCAAAAAGACAGCTATTTGTGACCTCTGTTCCAACATGACTTGGAATGAGACATGGTCTCATGAAAAGATGCTAAGTCCTCAATTCAATTTTATTAGTAAGAATTTCAAAATCTTTCTATTCATGCATTATTATAGAACCTTGGCAAGTATAATTTCCAATCCAGATAAAAATATGTATGGAGCAAGAAAAGGAGCTCTAGATCTCATCAGGACAGATATACCAGATTACTTTATCCCTGCAGACTAGCCAAGATGCAGGGAACAATCAAGACCAGGCTCAGATTTTGAAGCCTCTGAAATAATTTGGGGGACTAGGAAGGACATTCTAATACAACAGTAGAGAAGAAAAATGAGCAAGATTCCCAGAAAATACAAAGAAAGCAAATATTCAAGAAATCTTTATTTCTAGAAGAGCAGTAGCCATCAATTTTGAGCTGCTTCACCGAAATAAAGTTGCAGAAGCCAGACAGAAGAGCATCTTGGATGGAATTTGGGAAGGAAATTCAGAAAGCTATTGTACGCAGTCCACCCTATTAGCTTCTCAGTTCTCTGGAGCAAGACTCAAAGTAAAACAGGACTGAAAACAAAATTTTTAAAATCCGAGTAAAAACCCCCATGCTGGTATACTGTGTATAGTGTGTAACCAATTTTATCTAAGATGCCTGTCAGAATACTTGATAAACTTGATACACTCACATATCCTCAGAATCAGAGGGTCCTTCTTTGGCTTGCTCATCTTCCGTATCATCTATTTCAAGATTATGTTGATGCTGCACATCTGCTACACTGGGAACATCAACTAAAGTTCTGTACAGTTTGTAAAGATCTGGGAGTGAACACGTTCTCAACATCTACAAAAGTAATAGAAATCCTGCTAGATAACAATACTAAAGAGAGTTTGAGGTTACAAAATACTTTAAAATGAGATTGTTTTTTCTTTTTCATTTGAAGATCAATTTCAAAATAACAAAGTGTACAGCAGAGAAAATCTAACTGTTGAAAATTTGACATATTGAATTTTACCTCTCGGCTAAAAGGAAAGCACTCCTTCTGCCTTTATGGGTTACAGTGACTGAAAAGCTTTAGGAACACCAAGTGACATACAGCTCCCGGTTTTGTGTTGATTTCTTCACTACCTTGACAGCTTACTAAGGAAAAGGAACCTTACAGTAGGTAAATAATATACGTGCAATTTTTTTACAATGTATGTATGTCAATCACTTCCAGTTAGATCCATCTTAGACCCATCCTTCCTGACAAAGGAATATTTTTAAAATGACACTTGATTATTTCTCTGGGTTAGTCACTGAAAACAGTAACTTTTGTTTATGGTATATTTCAGTGCAGTTTCATAGCATTAGGAAGTCGTTCAAATTACAATGGTAATTTGCTGCAATGAAAATAAAAAACATGGAAACAAAGCAACTGTTTGCTCAGTGATGTATGAGATCTCTCTTTTAAGAAGTCTAAGAACCCCCCAAAAATACTAAATATTCACCACAGTATTGAAAAAACCAAGAAACAAGAACTCACCTGCACTAAGAAGTTTTACCAATAAGCTCTGAATACACTCATGGTCATTGTTTGCTCCTAATGAAACCCCCTCAATTTTAATGAACAAAATAGTTTCTTGGCTGCAATTTATACCAGCACAGTGTATTCATGAACATGCTCAAATATCACATCTGTCAGTGCACGGCCAGAACACTACTGTCATCAAAGGAATAATTACCTGTTTTGACCTCTACTATGAAAGTGAAGGAACAATCAAAAAACTACCATTACCCCATATTTGACAGGTATTTTGAAAAAATGCTACTCTTCCTATTAGCTTACTTCTGTTAACCTACAGACCTGCCTACAGATAGGTCATGAACTCTATCTGCTCAGAAGTATATTTGGGAAATTCCAGAAAGTTACACTTGCAGGTACTGCCCAGAGGCACTGAGTATCCTCTTGCTCCAGCCCAATGAGGAAAGGGAATGTATTGCCCTCTGTCATTAAGTCTGCTGCAGAAGTAACAACACTTCTGTTGCTCTTCTCCAAGCTCTCTGCTATTGTGTGGAGCCCATTCAGCATTGCAGTAACAACTCTGTGACAAATACTTCTGGCCAAAACACATGCAAAATATCTAGTAACAAGTGACATACTGATGCACTTCATATTGATACACTGGAGAACTCCATTATAAAGCATATCCACTACTTTGCCAATCTGATAAGGGTACAAAGAATGTTCATTTCCCCCCTATGCTCTTAAGTTAGGTTTTCTGTAATCATTGTCTGGCTGCCAGTTAAACAGCATCATAAACTAAGGAAGTTAACAATACAATAACTCTTGAGAAATGAAAATGAAAGTCATAAATCTATTTACAAATAGATTCCACCATCCTATGCTCATTTCACAGACTGTGAGCTGCCACTCAACCCTATGTAGCTGGTCCTGCTGCACAGCCAGAACCTGTGCTAGTAGGTTAAATCTTACAGGAAAAAACCCAATCACTTGGCTGCCAGATACCTTTGCTGACCTGTTCAGTGATTATGTTTATGATGGCAAGGTACTGATAAGCCAAAAATCCTGCACAAAAGAGAGAAAGCAGATAGGGCAAGTTAGGAATTTCTTCATGAACTCCCTCAGATATGGCTCACAGAAGTGGTAGCATTCCTCCACAAACACTCTGAACACAGAATGCTGAATGGTGAAACCAGAGACCTTCACTGCTGCATTAGACCTGCTGATACCATGAGCACAGTGCAGTACAGCTACAGGGCAGACATGGCTACACCAATACAAACACCTGCTGAAACAGTTATGACATCTGTTCTGACCTCACCTAGCTTCAATAAGGAAGTAAGAATAATACTACAGAAAAAAAAGCATTTCTTTTTAGTTTTTTAAACTTGCCTTTGGGTCGTTTGCATCAAAAAGTCCTGTAGAAAGTCCAATCAACAATGAACTTTTGCCTTTATTTTTTGCTGGTGATATGGAACGTGAACGAGGTACAAAAGGCTCTTCCTGTGAAGACTGGGCTGACAGAACTGGTGAGGCTGTTGGTACAGCTGTGGGCTGTATTACCCTCTGGAATAAGGGTTCGGCTTGCTGAGAGTCACTGGAACAAGTTTCTGATGTGGTAAAAGAAAGTTTGTTACAAATATAAAGATATTAAAAACCCAAGGCTCTTAAGGAAAAGGTTTAAAATTAATAATTCATTAATGATTAATTTATTCATTAAAATGAATAAAGCTAACTAAATTCTCTGTATAATTAGGGGGAAAACCAGATAGCACTTTAACAATATTAAAATTTTTTTGATTATTTTTTATTATTTTAAAAGGTTGTACATTCAGAAACTTAAGTATCAGTATGGGCCATTGTCCTGTTCATCTATACATAGTTTAGCTTTATTGTTACATTTTTTTTCCCCTAAGTGGCAAACATAATATCCGCATTTTGTCTTCCTAATCCATCAGAAATTTGCTTTTTAGAACCAAGACCTGAAGAAGAAAATGAAAACAAAACATTGCTCTTCAGGGGTTTGAAGAAGTGAGAAGGGATGGCTCAAGTACCCCATACTGCCAGTCACAGTAAATGGAACAAGAGGCTTCAACTAACCTCCTGGAGCTTCCTTTTGTGCTTGCACCTTGTCAAGTGCTTGTTTCTCCAAAGCTGCCTCATTTGTTCTGTCACATTGTGCCCTATTATAGAACACCACATCAAGGTGAAACAACTTGTAAAACATAGTCGTTAGTCTACTGAAAAAGTCACTAAGTGCAGTAAAACTAACACAGCAGCAGGCGATGAAGCTTTAGCTAAGCTTAATACTTTAATTGACATATCTAAATAAAACTCAGTTCAAGCTCAGTTGTTTGAACTGGGTAGAGGGGGTCAGGATAGAGTACTTACATATCCTCTTTCTCTTTTACCCACACTTCATTAACAGTGATGGGAAATTCTTTACTCTCCTTACTCTGGTGCTTTTTATCTTCCATTTCTTCCAACATCTCTGCTTCCAAATCATCAGGTTCTATAATTAATAAATTCATTTACCTCATTAAAAATGAATCCCAACCAAGCAAAAAGATGGGAGAGTATACATCTTAAGATTACAGTTAAATCCTTCAGCTTTAATAATTTTCTGTATTTTGCAGAAACAGCTGAAGTTTTGTTAGCTTGTAAGTTTGTTTCTGATACCAGAAGAGTATCTGAAAGCTCCAATGAACCATGCCTTCTAAAAACATCAGTAACATTCCCCCAGAAGTCAAAAGGATGCTGGTATCACATGAGGAAAGATTCCAGCACAACTGATACAGAGAAACAAACCAAAAAAAGGTCAAATCAGCAACAAAACATTTGAAGCACTTCAGAATTCCATTTGTACTCTAGAGCTTTCTATAAGCATACAAAAAATGTTTTTGGAAATTTACAAAATACATTAGTGAATCAAATTACAACACAGGTATAGAAAGCACCTTGTCCTACATGAAAGGTGTTAATAAAAACCTGCACATTGCTTATGAGAAGACATGAAAGTATACAGGGTCACCAATTGAATTCTGTAAACAGATTGTAATTAGAATTACTCATGAAATTACTTACCATCTAATGTAATAGGTTTGCTCTGCACCTGGGTAGGTGCAGCTCTTCTAGATTCTTCTGGTACAGTCACAACAGACTCTGTGACACCAATGGGTACTGAAGACTGAGCTCCAACAGCAGAGAAAGCCTTGTCTTCCTTCTCCTCTGATGAAGACTGATGATCTCCTTCAACAAGTTCTGCAGTACCTAATGGAAAATGATTCTATTATTTAAACAGTGCTTTGACACAGTTGGATAATAAACTACAATGTGGCTAATAAGGTAAGTTGAGAATTTTTGTTCCTCTAAAGGAAAACAGAAAAGTTTGTGTGCTTTTATTATAGCTATTATAAAGAAGAAAGCTAGAAATATTAAAATTTGAATTTTACTTCCTACGTTATCATTAGTACAAGTTTGTATCTGGAATAAACATTAAGTCCTTTTGTCTTTAGAAACAACAAAAAGAAGGAGTTGACAAGAAAAAAAATCACCTGGTATGGCAAGCCACCTGCTGACAAGAAGGTTATAGGACCTATCTAATACAATACTCAGTTGATGACAACCTTTTAAAAAACAGACTTGTTGCTATCAAAAAGCAAAGTCCAAGACTTCTCAGCAAAATTAAGATCCTTCCCTTTCAGCACATCCTTTATTATTTCTTACCACTTCACTGAGTTTGAAATATTTTAGGGTCATCCAATATCAGCCTGTGCTGATATTTAGAACTGAGGCAACACCCAAAAGGAGAATGCAAGTGTGAAGATAAGAATATGCTTCTATAACTTCAAAATTGTTCTCAGTAGATAAACTGGCAATCTGGCACACAGCTGTGCTTACCATTTATTACATCTTGTTCCTCAAGTATGTCGGTTTGCAGCTGCAACTCTGCTTCTCCTAGGATCCTCAGGACTGAATCAGTAGGGCTCTTGCCCCAGACTTTCCTGTGGGGTTCACCAATATCTAACTTAATTACTTCCCCCAGAGTTTGACCTGTTGGGACACAAACACAAATACAGAAACTTTTATAAATTAGGATATAGAGCAACAAAGAAAAAAAGTAAAAGAAGTTTCTTGATCTTCTCACATTGTAGTTCTGTAAAACTACTATGCAATGAAGTAAGTCTGTCACATTCTTAATGATTATTTATTTCTACTATGTGAAACAGACTCTTAGTAAGACATACAGAAAGCAGGAAACAGGTCTTCCACCCGAAAGACCAGAGAAAGCAGACAGAAAATTTGAAAAGACAGTCTTGATTTAAAAAAGGAAAAAGTTAAGAAGGGTACGATAGAAGTAACATTTATAAATTTAGAAATTTTTTTCTTATTCTACTGATAACATAAAAGGATTTTCAAGTTAAATAAGAAACTTTCATGTATCTTAAATGCTTTTTATTCTTTCTGTTAAATTAGTACCTATTTAAAAGACACTTAAAAAGAAAGCTCAAAGTAACCATGCATTTAATTTGATAACTATTTGTTGAAATATTGAAATTATTTATTGAATCTCCTGCAAGCCATCTAAGTACTCAGCCTGTGCCTTATTCCTTATCCAAGGGAATACATAACCACCTACTTTTGAGAAGCAGATGACATCTAACTGATAACAAGATGATACTAATAAAGACTACTTGCTTTATAAAAACAAACACTACACATGGCAAACTGATTTACTAGTACCACGGTGACAAAAAAAAAAAGTACTTACACTCTGTTCCAGAGAGAGAATCTTCCATTGATAACTGAGCTAGAGGAACAACCAACTCAGGTGCCCCAGATTCCCATTTTTTGCGATCTCCTAGAAGTGGCTGGTCACCTTCTTGTTGTTCCTTACCATCTTCAGACCCAGCTGATTCAGATACATTTTTGCACTCCTTTTGTCCTTTCTCATCTTCTTGGGCTTTAAGATTTTGATTTAATCTCCTCAGTATTTCTCGTTTGTTCTGAAATAAGGGCCAACATAGGTCACATAGAATAATGCCACTCTTAAAAGGAAAACTAAACGAAACTGAATACAATTTGACATACTTGCATTGCAAAATCTGGCTTTTTTATTTCCTCCTCAGATTCCTGGACAGCAGTTATATGTTCATCCTTTAAGTCCAAGAAGCATGAAACACAAAGTAGAAGAATATGTCAGAAAAAAATTATCTTGAGAATATTAACAGACATAATAGTGAAAAATCACCTCGAAAACCTTTCCATTGACAAATGCAGATAGACTGAAAGAGAACGTATGATTACTCTGTTCTTAGGCAGCTTTCCATAAGGGTATTTTCCATCTTTGAACTGTTCACTATCTGAAAGTGATGAGCAAATGAATCACTGAGTTTAAACAGCAAGTTCAGAGTACGAAAAACAGAGATAGAGCTAGGTAAGACCTCTACAGCAAATCACCGTCAAATTCCTATGCTAGAAATAAGTAATTCTATACAAGAACCAAAAAAGCATGGAGTCAAGGAGGACCTGTGAAGAAAAACAGAAGGGAAAAGAAACAATTCAAGTGATATGTAAAATAAACAAACTACAAATTGAAGACAAAAATGCAGAATTTATAATCTTTGTTTACATGGCTTGTATTCTCCATTTCTGATTGCTCTGTGCACTAATTTTTAGTCTGTTATAGTCACTGTCTTGCATTACTGTAAGACAAACTGTCCACATGGAAAAAATGTGCTAATGATTTAAGTATTTGTCAAAACATAATTTATTTTTCCAGCTATCAACTGACATCTTTCAACATATTATATTTTATATACATTCTCTAGCACTAAGTTTCACTGTATTTCCATAGTCATAGTCTTCAGGGTTGTACACCACACTACACTGAAATCTAGAAATAGCTTAGGTAAAAACACAAAAGCTAGCATGCAAATTAATAGAGATTGTGCTAAAATTCTAAATTGTACAAGGTTACACTCAGTTTCATAATTGCAACTCAGAGTAGTTGAGGTAAACATATAAGTATTTACAGTATCAGGACAAAGAGCATGGAAAATAAAAATGAGGATACTCTTTTAGACACAAAGAGGTAACATGGACAAATTCAATCATCTTAAGCTCTATCTTCCTGTTATATTCAACACATTCAAACTTACTGAAAACAATCATTAATATGACATAGTCCTGTCATCCAAAATTTATTTGCTCACTTCTGCCAAATCACAAACTCCTTAACTCCTCTCTTCAAGAGGCTGATAAAAATGCTGGAAGTTGATGACTTCTTCCACTAATGACTGCCTTGATCAAAATGGAAATTGCAGCCTAGGGTTCATCATAAGCTATTTTATTCAAAATATGAATTTCAGTTCCAGTGTAAAGATGTATTTCAACAGCTTCCAAGCTCTAGTTTCTTTTAATATTTTTTCTTTTTTTTTTCTTTTCCGTAACTAGAAGCAACAAAAGTCCTTGATTTTTTTCTACCTAACCTACACATTTTTTCCAAAAATTCTTTTATCAATCAGTATTTGCTTTCTCTCCTTTAATTTCACCCTCTTAGCAAAAGTACCTACCACACCCACTTCCTTCAAAGCGTAAGTCATGGAGATGACAGGTGCACCAGGCTTCACTGGAAGTTGTGGCTTAGGAAGAGCTGCTCCAGCCTCTTGTAGCCCATTCACAGGACTATCTTCTGTAGCTTCCACATGAAAAGGCACATTAGGATTCTTGACCCCTTTTGCAATCAGCTGTATAGATTCAATTAAAAAAATTTAAATCAATAAATTAACTTCAAGACTTTGCACATTTAACACAGTCATGTAATCCTTACGGAAGTACAATAATGCCACACATTTTCATACAAAAGACAACTGCCAACTGCACATGTGAACTACTATCAGTTTATCAGCTTCACATGCTGCTTTTTCCAGTCATAATATTACTAGTTAGACTTGTCACTCTGCAGCATACAGAAGTCAACCAAGATAAAATACACTTTGGTAAGTAACAGACTATTAATAAAGTACTTGAGGTGATCATAATAATTCTTAGGTTTGATGTTCTTAAATTCTTCATGCAAGCATACCCTAAGATTCGGCTTCTGAATTCTGCCTGATACAAGACACTCTTTTCAGTTTCAGAAGACTGATTATCTCATCTTGAAAAATCACAGCATAGGATTTTAGTTATAAGAAGGCACGGCCCTACATACTATGACTGCATGTAACAGGGTTAACTTCCTTACATGTTCTTCCCAGGCTCTTTTCTCTCTTTCATAAGCTTCCTTTCTCTTTCGCTCTAACTGTTCCTTCAGAACTGCTGCTCGAGCATTTGCTTGGGCCTATAGTAAACAAGTAAAAAAATTACCAACTTAAAATCATTAGCAATCTATTTCATGGAATATTTTAAAAAGAAACATTCTTGTATTACTTATCTTTCTTTCTCTCAATTACTACTATATAGACTGTGAAAGGAGGACACCTTTCTGACAAAATCACCTCACAAATACAACAACTTATCTTTTATACTGAAATAATGGCAATTCCTCCAAATTTAATTACAGTTCTTTATTTGCATGGTTGTATTTTTAGCATACATAGCTATCTTAAACAGAGTAATGTAAAATTAGAGTCTCTATTTAAAATTAGCTTTGAAGCCAAATGCATTAATCACAAATTATTAAACATGCAGTTTAAATTTTACCAAGTTACTCCAACACAAAAAGCTTCGGTCGCTGTTTCACCTCCAGTTTTTGGGTTAGGCATAAGATTAGCTTGTTTTTACATTGCTCTTTGCAGATGATGGGGGGAAAAATCATAGCGTAGATAAGAGTAATACTTGCCATGTACAGAATGGTAGAAATAGTTATTGATATAAGAACATGGAATAAAGTTACAAACACTGGATTTCTGTGAAACGGTTTTAAATGTACTTCATCACAGGGTTATATAGCTCACCTTCCAATCCACATGTAGGCCATATAAAGAGTCTCGCCTTCCATTATTCTTTAAGTAAAATAAAGTTGTTTCTTAGGGTACATCTTTCTTTCCCTTTCAGTCTCCAAATGTTATTTTAGTTCTACCAAACTGCCTTTAGGACTAAAGATATCCTAGAGATAAATCTCAAAGGCAGGGATAGGGAAAATCCTTGACTTTCTAGGAGAGACTGTGCTATGTCTCAGCATATTTTAAAATTACTGAGATAAAACAGTTGAACAGTTGTTTTCTCAATATAGTTTAGAAAAGCCCATCTTGTAGTGGATATATAACAAACTATTGACAGCAAAATGAAATGTAAGAAAATACACGAGATCCAAAACAAATTTGAAAACAGTAACTTCCATCCCCTCATATTCCACAATTACCTTCTGCGTTTCTATCTTTTTGCGTTTCAGTTCTGCTTCCTCACTTGACTCTTGTCCATCAGAACTGGTAGCTTCGTTCTGCAAAGTAAGTCCTCAGAAAATTATCATAGTTCATGTATTTAAGAGCTGAGTGATGTGACTACTCAGATCATTTAAATTGACTGTATGACTAACATGGGTCATAATTTCACTAGGGAACTCCTCAATTAAATGCAATGTCTATTTGGATAGAACTTTGTCTTTCAGATTGGTGGGGTTTTGTCTATTTGTTTGGTTTTGGGGGAGAATTGGTAATGTCCTTCTTGTTGCAAGGAAAGCGATCTAACAGTGCTGGGCTCTCACCTGCCACCCCTCGTCACTCTTGCGTGTTCTGCAGGTGAGGTATCCAAGAAAGGTTTGATGCTCTAGCATTTCAGTTTTGTTCACTGTATGTGCTTAAAAAAACCCATGGAATGGGTGAGGGGGGGAAATGGTAACAAGTCAGAATATGTAAGGTCTACCTCTGAAATCTCTGTTTCCAATCTCTCTTACTTCTTCCAATGGCCTCTGCATATTCCTATTTAGAGACTGTTAGTCTGACAGTACCATGCAACAAGGTTCTGATAGGAGATTTTTATTGTTCATGACCAACTTGTGCAGACTTTTTATTTAAAATAAACTTACTTAGAAAGCCTAATCTGACAAAACAAAACAAGAATTTTAGGTAATTTTTTAAGTGAAAATTGAGAAACTAAGATCATGCCCACATCGGTTTCAGCCAGATAACAGAAAAGAAAGATGACTGGAAAGAACACTGGAGACAGAAAACTTCATGAAAATAATTTGGCACTCTTCATAGGCAAAGGAATGAATATTCATGTATTGTATATAAAATACGATTTTATACAGTAGCAGCAATTGATATAAAATTGTCAATCAACAATAGGAAATAAACATATCTGCAACAAGATTTGGTCTGAGATGATGTTACTCTAGAAGTGAGCCTCCCCACTGAAGTTTGCATCCACAAGTCATCAAGAAAAAAACAGCCTCCTAAACTTGGTCTCTGAATGCTGAAAATGAGTTTATGCCTCTTTACTGGAAAGATATTAAGCTGTTCTCTGTTCCTTCGTAGCTGGCATACCTCCTGGGTCATAAACCTTCCCCAGCTAAGGTACAGCCACCAGGAAATGAAGTTAGGTTCCTGATAGGCTTAATAAGCCATATAGGAACATAAGGAATGTCATGGTCACAGTAACAGTACTTTTGTTTGATTTTACTAGCACAAGCTGATTTGGCCTCCAGATAAAGAGCTTTCCGGAGAGTACCTTTACTTCTGCAGTTAACCACACTGAAAGTGGAGTGTGGGTGCTCTTGATTTTGAGAGGAAGTGTTGCAGCTGCTTGGTGAAAAAACTGAAATAACAGTACAATAATGGCTCCATACTGGTAACATTTTAGCACTGTCCTTGGTATTCTAAGAGTACTCGTGATCATGACTGTAAGATTTTGTAGGGCTGTGCATGGAGACTACTAATCCCACTGCAGCAGTTTCGAAGCTTGTCCAAAACAGCAGAGCAGCCACAGACTGAAATTAGCACCAAATGCAATTAACATAGCATGAGCTTCTGGTGCTCAGTGTTTTAATGTGATTCAGAGCTAGTGATGAACTTCACTGACCAGCTCCTACAGTGACTTCATAGACTTACAAGACACTGATTTTCCTCATGCTCCTTAAGACATAGGAGAACAGCCCATGTTGGTCCTCTGCCAGACACAGAATCTAGCACATCTTACTAAAACTTGCATAGTCTTCTTTGGTTGAAACATACATAATTTCTTGTCTTAGATCATTCATTTTAGATATAGAGGGACATAGGTTCCTCTTCAATGTGCTAAAGAAGTTTTTGTACTTCAATCGAAAGATTGAATTTGCTTCTCTTGTGTCTCACCAGTGAGATGTAATCAAGGTTAAAGAAAATAAAACAATTCAAAAGTCATTAATACAGAAAAAAAATACAGTATTTTAGCATAACAAAAAAAAATTCCAAATCAAAATCTACAGCAATGTGGAACTCTCTCTAGCTAGAATACTGATCCAAAGAAACTGAGTGGCACTGAGAATGCTCGTCTTGTATGTCCACTCACTATACATAAGATGCATGAAAGCACTTAATACAGGTGCTTAAAGTGGATGGGTGGGGCAGGAATGTTCATCTAGTTTTAAATCACACTGTATAATGTGAATATATAAGCAGGTAATCACTTGAGGAAGCCTAAACACTCCATTAAAACAAATGGACAGGAAGGGGAAAACCAAACAGGAAAACAAGATCACACAGTAGGTTAATGAAAAGATGGAAACAAACTCTGGACCATTTTTACTACCCAGATTGCCTCTCAAATGAAACTTTTTTTAAAACAAATACATGGATTGCTTCCAAGTGTGCCTTCACTTGACAGCTTAATAAGTTTTTGTTCTGAATCTACTTTATGAACATATTCTTTTGGTTTTCTTGTATAACAAATATATTTTTGAAAACTGATGTTTGAAAAAAATTGTATTAATTAAACCGAGCTCATGTCAGAAATTTCTAACTTTAATAAACAACTATAGAATGTATGAAAAGCATTGCTTAATACTTATTCTGTGTGAGCACTGTTAAAAAGTGAATTCTGAAGAAGCTCCTATAATAAAAGCAAATAAATGTGCTAGTGCTTGAGAAATTTATATATAAAATTCAGAAATTCAGATGTAAACTTATGCTGCCTTGTTTTTAACACATTGGTAGTTAACAGGCACTGAAGCTGCACTCTTAGCACTGAAATAATAAACAGATTTTGCATATTCTGGATGAGCTAAAAAGAACTAACTGTGGAACAGAATTAAATGTCTAAAATATATGTCTATATATAAAACTGCTTAGAACAGAAGTCTTCCCGCTGGGATAAAAGAATACATCCCATAGCCAACTTTCATAAGTATTTCAGATTATTTTCCAACCAACCTTCTCTCCACGAAGTTTTGCTCTAATCTGTTGACGTTCATTAAAGTTTTGTAGCCGGATCTGTCTCAATCTTGCCAAGTATTCCTAAGGCAAAGAAATGAAGTAAGTTTCAGCTATACGGAAACTACCTTCGGTATGGTTAACTTAAAATACATCAGATTCCACAAAAAAATAAGATGAGTGAACCAACCCCCACTACTGCTATCACCATATTAGCATTTACTAATCTCCAGAAAAAACTCTCATGTAAGGAAAATAAAGAAAATCAGAATGTACGCTTCCCTGTATTAACATATCACTACATTTTATATCATTGAAGGCTAGGAGAGGTTGTATTTATCACAACATGTTTAAGATAAACAGTCACATCTATATGTATGCATATTCGAGAACCTTTCTGAGACAGACTAATGCAAACAACTATTATTTTGATTGTTTAAAAAACCAAAACAATCAAACACACCCAAACTTCAGAACTTTATACAATAAATTACTTTCTAGGAATTTAGAAAGTCCTTTAATTTTGTTTCACAGATGGAACCATGCGGGGAAACTGGGCACAGTGAGGGTCAAAATAGTGCTATTTGTGTGATGAGCAAAGTGGCAAACATGCGGCAAGCATACCTCTTCCTCCTTGTTTCTGGATTTCCTTCCTCTTGCAGAAACAGGCCTGCCTCCATAGGTATCTGCCACGTTTTGCAGTGTACCCTGTTTGCCATTTAATGGTATCAAATTTAAGGTGGCTGGGGCAGTGAAATTATCTGCTTTATCCAATAACTCTTCACTTATAAGAAACCAAATCCATGAACGATCTGCAGATGTTCAGGAGTTAACTGATAATGCCTTTTCATTTACATGACACATATGACAGCATTAACTAAAAATCCTGAGTAGCCAAAGAGAGAGACTAGAGCTTTAAGAATATAGTTACCTTCCCCTGCAATTCTAATCTTCTCATGCTACGTTAGAAAACCTAAATTGTGATGTGCATGAATTATTCTGTGTCTGGATTATATACATACAAATGGTGGCACAGGGTTGGGATTTCTGCCATTGTTGACACAAGCCTAAAATAAAGAGTGGAATCTTTATATGTTCTTAGATGAAGCTTTTTTCACAATGATGCTTTTTTTTTAAAACATATTACAAGTTGCAAACTCAAAAATCTAATAAAGCACTTAAATACACCCATTACATCTAACAAGCTATGTTGAACGCCTAGTACACATGCAGTGTATAGTCTTGGTTCATGTGATGTATTCTGTGACCTAACTGTCACCCAAAGATTTCAACCTTTAAGGAAGTTCTATACAAAACTGTACAAGAATCATTTAACTCCAGGTTTCCTGCTTGGATTAACATCAAAAATACTTGAGTTATTTTGTTCATTATATGCCATAAACCTTTGTTGAAGGGGTTAAAAAAATCCTTGAGTTGCTAGCTCAACATACAATAAAGACAGTAAGAATACACGCGACAGATCTTCTGCCTATAAAATGCCAAGGCTTTGGCTTTCTCTAGCTTAAATGTAGAGAACTATAGGAAAGTAAATACTCCAGTTAAGTTATTGATAGGGAGAACTGAATCCAAATGAATCAACAGCTCAAGGAAACAGCACATGTACTACTTTGGTTAAGTGACTGGGGGATCAGAGAACAAATCAAAGGAACCATCTTGTGGATAAGAAGTTTCTATACATTCATGAGGGCTCCATGCATGCTGCTTCCAGCTTAAGCATTAAGTCATACAAAACAGAAAGGAATATTTTTCATATTCACCTTTTCAGAAAATATTTCTTTTCATTTTTAACTTTTTAATGCATGTTCTTGAGCTTCACAAAAGCTTACTGGCACTATTCAAGGAATTTCATTGTTCTTTGTTCTATTTTCATTACTAATGGAGATTTATATCACCACTCTTGGACAAGAAAGAGAACGGAAGCATGATTTTTGAGAACTGATTTTCTTTCTGTAGATTGCTAATTTTTACTCATCTGCTTACATTAATATTTTCAAAGACCAGGACTCATGTTTTGCAATGCCACACAGCTACAGTGAAGTAGCAAATTAGGTCAGCAGCTGTCTTACAAAAGAGATGTCTGAAAGCATCATCAACTCAACTACTGAATCAAGCTTTAGACTCTCAGTTGAAAATTAAAATTGACAGCAGCTATATTTAACAGAAGCTGGGTAAATCAGTGCCACTCATTTGCCTTACAAGTCTTTATATGACAAAAGGTTGCCTATCAGCTGATGATTTCTCCTCTCAGATCAACATTATCCAAACAACAGTCCCATCCCTATATGAGAAAAACTGCCACACAAAGTCCTAGTGCAGATGAATCATTTCCAATATATGTTTTAAACTTCCTAAAGGAATACTGAATTTAGAACCATAAGCATAAAGAACATCTTGTGACACTATCTACTACTTAATCCCTGAAGAAGAAAGGTTTTATAAAGGTCAACGCTGACAAATATGGATGACTTTATAACACCTTTTCAATCAGCAGAATGTATTTTCCTAAAATACATGACTTTGTCTGATCAGTAGCTGTATCAGTTTAATTAAACTTCATTTTACATTCAAGCCACTGTGTAACACATGAAGTTTAATTTTAACCAAGAGTCTAAAGCTACGAACAGAAAATATGTAAATGAAGTTAGACACATGCAAACAAAGGTATTTTCCTGTTTATAAGTTTACAGTAATGAGAAATGTATTGCACAATTATTTTACTATTTGCACAAATTTACAATTGCACAAAACATTTTACTAAAATTAGCAACAAAATGCAGAAAACTTACCTCCCATTCTCCTCTTTTTAATACTTAAGGAAATTATTTAGTCAGCATTTCATGGTTATGATGCTACTTCAAAGACTCATAAAGCATGCTGAAACACTAATATACATAGGAAGACCAGATTTCATACCATGTGTCCCTGAGCTCGGGCTTTGTTCTCCATGGCTTCTCTCTTTCGTTGCCAGAATTCTTCAACTTGCTTTGCTCTATCTGTAGTTATCCATCCTTTTTGCCTGAGTAATTTCAACACAGCAAGATGAAAGTGTCTGAAATATGACATTCTGAACACCCCCCCCCCCATTTATTCTATCTAGAACACACACAGGAAAAAAAAAGCAACTTTCTACGAGAAAGGCATCTTCAAAAAATGCCTTTCATCAGTCAAAATACAAGTCAGACTGCCACACAATGGAGTGTTGGTAAGTTAGAAGAACAACTATGAAAAATAAAACCAAGCCACTGTTTTCCTTCAAAATACTTGTCATCAAAACAAAAATGAACGTCAAAATATAATCTCGGTGTGTTTAATTCTGAAAGTGCCTCAGCTTGTTTCATTATTGTTATAATTCGTGAAAAAGAAGACTCCTTCAAGGTTTCCCTTCAGACATGAGCAAGAACTCACACACGAGCCAATCAGGAAAGTCAATACTGCAACAGCCTTTCAAGATTGTCCTATGTTTGGTGTAAGAGCTTTTACCCCTTAGATAATTAGTATGGTGCTACTATTCTCAGTGTTCTGGCAACTCCCTTTGGGGAATCTTGGGAGATCTTTTGTTTGTTTTCAAAGGTAGGAATTTTCCCACCTTAGAATCAGCCATAACAAGAAGGTTGGTTTTTGACAAGTTCTACCCCAGGTCAGGGACCTGCTTGGGTAGACAAGGTGGTTGTGTTTAAGTTACCATAACTGAGCATCCAGCAGGTCTATGAGTACATGCATAAGATCGTTTTGTAAAGAAACCAGTTTCTGACAAATTGGTTAGAAGTGGACTCAGAGGAAGTTTTGTATTAAAAAAAAAAACCCAACACTGAGGCATGGTGTAAAATATTCTAATAAATGGTAAAATGATGTGGCCTTTCTGAGGTTCCCCTGGGCTCCTTTAAGTGAGGGGTATTGGGGGTTCAGAAACAGGCAGGAAGAACTTGGAATAAACCGACAGCAACAATATATCAGGCTGAGTCAGTTAAAGAAAGAATAGTTTTGCAATACAGGAAGCTATTGCTACCGATTCATAAATTAACTACACATTAATTAAAATCCTTGCATTTTAATTTTTCTTCCCCCTACCCCCAAGTAACAAGGAAATGAAATTTCATCCATGTGCTACAATTCACTAAAAGGAAGACAGAGATAAAACTACTTTAATACAATAAAACAAATACTGCAGCTGCTCTGAAAAGGCAAGACAATCCACACAGGTGTTACTGATAAAGAATCAAACAATTGATAATCTTTGTATACACATACCTGACTCACTACAAGATATTCACTCTAGCTTTTAATTATGTATGAACTCAATTGGTGGATAGTGAAATCTGCCCAAAATCCTGTCATGCAGCTGAAGTTTGTCACACAGCATGAAGCTTAGAGTGCTGGAGGAGAGGTGCTTCCCAAGTAAAACCAAACAAAGCCAAGCCTATTTCTCTCAAACCAAATTCACAGGAAAAACTTATTTCAACTACATTTTATGATGGTTTTTCCCACTCTAAAGCTGTGTGACTTGTTTCACTAAACATTTAACCTAGAAGCTGCACTTCTGTCCAAAAGACAATTTTTAAACATTGTTGATGCTGAATATACTTAGCTTTACATTAGTAGTAGTGTAATCAGAAAAACTGCAACTTGAAGATTTCTCAGCTTCTTTAATATATGCTCTAAATTACCTCTCTTTAACATAGCTATTATTTAAATTCTTCATTTGAGCTAAACATCATGAATACTTATTTTGCATCCAGCTGAAAGAATAAAGTGTAGGACAGAAATACTGCTAGACTAGCTATCATAATAGAATTGCTTCTAGATAATAAAATACAAATTCTTATCACATTTAAAATGCTAAGAAACGGCATCTCAATTTAAGGCTAAAGGTAATCCAGTTTATAAATAGAAAAAAACCAATCTCTCTCTGTTCTGACATTTCTACACAGTATTTTCATTGAGTGCTTCCAAATTCATGTATTTAAGAAATACTGAATTGGTTTCTCTTCCTGATCTCCATGTTATTCATAATTTGCAGCCCTCTGCTATAGTTTCTCTCGATTTTAAATACATTCAAAAAAGTTTACCCAGGTGTAAACAAGTATCATTTAATATTGTCAAATGTACGAGGCAAACTGTTTCCTAATCTAGACAAGATCTGGGGATTGTGCATTTGTGCAAAGTATTGAGAATAAATAGAGGAGTATGGAAATACATATATTTAATTTACATTACATTGAATTACATTACATTAAAATACAGCTGGCAAAATACACCTTCCAGTATTGGGTTGTGCCAGGAAGAATTTTAATTAGCTTAAATTACTATACAGAAAATAAAATATACCTCGTAGCTTTCAAAACTGTACCATCAGTGTTAAACATGTTATGTTATTGCTGCAAATTTTAAAATAGTAAAGAATCTGTAAAAGTAAATATATATTATATTAGAACATAAAACTGAATAAAATTAGAAGAACAAATGTTTTCTTTGGTCCTTTCCTTTTCCTCACATTAACTCCATGTATTTCTTCCTCCATGGCACGGCTCTGCGGAGGTTCAAATAATGCAGGAGAAAATTTGTCCTTCTAGGAAGTTTAGTTAGTAATGCTCATGTACTAAACTTCCAGAAAAACAATATTCTCCCATTCACTGGTCACAACTGCAAACACAGTTCTTTGGGCAATATTAACAGATATGAAGGAGAGCAAAGAAGTTTTGAAAAGGTATTTGAAAGAGTGAAATCATAAAAAAAAAAAAAAAATCAGTACTTGTCTACAATCCTTTCATAGATAAAAATACTCAGTTTACAGTAATTAGAATTAGATATTCTATTTTGGTATCAGAATATTGAATTAGAACCACTGTAACATCTGGCATTCACATCGCAATGAAGAAAGCTCCTAGAAGTTTTCCACTGATCAGTAAACAAGAGGTAACAATTCTGTGATCACTCTAGACACTTTCCTATGCTACAGTGTCAAACACTTAGGTGACGAGAAGGCAGGAAGAGTGAGATGACAGCAGAAGGAAGCATCTTGTCAGGTAACGCAAAAAGCGGAACTATGAAAAAAGCAAAGGAGGAGGCTTATGCTGTTATCTGCAACCACATTAAGCCAAGAATTTTGTCTGAAATCTAGTTTAGCTACGTTTTCTTAGTAAACCATTTTTTCCACTATTGTAGAAGCCAAGGTCTCCATTGGTTCTAAGAGAGTTGTGGTCTGTGAGGGACTAACACACAAACAGACAGCACATTACCAATGGATAAAAGTGATTTTGAGACACGTCCAACTACTAAATGAAACCAGACAGAACAAGAATCTAACATGTAAGGACAGATTTACGGATTAGCATAGTCCAACCTGTTTGCACTGGCTTGTTTAGACACCTCCTTCAATCTTTTCACTTTTTTCCTAACTGCACCAAGATCAGGTAAATGGTGATGACCTGCAGGTCCCCTAGGAACTCCTGGACGTGTTCCAGGTGGAATTCCTCTGTAGATAAATATGTACAGTGACTTTCATTACTTTCATCTAAAGCAGACCACATGTAACTTCTAACGGAAGGGAGCCATACCTTTCAAGAACTTCTCGGTCTTGTAGTTTTGCCCTCAATTTGGCTTCCCTCTCTTCAGCTACTCTAACGTTTTCCTTTTGCTGTTGCATCTGGTCAAAAATAGCGTGATAGTGTTCATAGTGTCCTCTGGAAGACACAGGTAAAGGACCAACACCACCTCCGCCAACATAATACGGTGCCTGGAAACCAAAAAGGGTAGGGTGGAAATCTCAAATATTGTTTTGAAGAAGCCCTTCCAATTTTCACTTCTTGAGCAGAATAATAGCATTAACATATTCTGCAGAAATTCTGAATTGGTTCTAGTTTTAACCCAGCCATGCCCCTATTTTAACAAACTACAAGGTAGATGAATTAAAAGCTTATTTTTCTGTTAGCAGTCCAGAATAAACCACCATTTAACTTTCCTCTAATAACAGTCTAGTTAAACATGAGACATCTGTCATACATTTTGGAAGTCACTGATAACAAATCCATTGAAATGTAAACAGAGATAATTTTACATGGCAAAAATCAACCTTTTAGCACAAAAAGCAATACAATAGCAACTGAAGAAGATTTATTTAAGAGTCCCCTTGCTACCAACCTATAATTTGAATTCATCATGAAAATTAAGATGCTTCCCTACTAAAGCTCAGATCATGAGAATATCTACCACAAGCTATTGCTTTATGTGAATTATCCCTGTCATTCTCAAAGAATTAGAACTCCTGAAGAATCTTTGTGTGAAAATAATGAAAAAAATAACATTTCGAGCAGCTGTGTAGAATAGTAGCCAAGGATGGATGCAGAAAATGTGAAAGGCAAAACAAGGTTAAGGTTGTCAGCACATGCATAAAAATGTTCCCTTTACACCTGGCGGAAGCAATCAAATAGCCCATGGTACTGAATCTACAGAATTTGTTTTAACAATAGAGTCAATCTTCCTTCTAGAGTGCTCTGAAGTATTTTAAATAAATTCAAACAGGTGAGTGTAGATATGACAGGTTTAATATTGCCTGTTTAGAAGTTCTTGAAGAAACTATATCTGACAATAGAATTAATCTCACATTCTGAGTTTCAGTTGCTCAATGCCCATCAACAGCTTCCTAAAATCTAGATGACAAAGTACTAAATCAAAGATTTATCCAGGCATTCAAATATGTAGGTATACTGTTCATCTGAATAAAAATAACTATACAAGATTGCAGTTTCTGCAAATAGAAGGAAAAGTCTTGCTTTAGATACTATTCAAGATTTCACCTATCATTATTAGAGTTAGTTTTCAAAATCTAAAGAAATACTATGATTAATATCTGGGCAAATGCTATGAAGCAGGTGCTCATCAACAGTCTGCAAAACAGTTCCAGCTCCCACTAAAACCACAAACCCGAAGCCAAATCCTTGTCACCTCTTTCCCTACTTGCCCTCAGAAACAGGTGCCAGCAACCAAACCAAAAAGATAACAGGACAGAATCATGCAGTGCATGACCCTGTTGTGCCTTCATAAGATGCTGTTTGGCTTGTGTCACTGGAAAGCTTGAGCCGTGCTATTTAAGAGTATTATCAGGGAGTTGCTGGATACACTGCCCTCATGCTGGAGAAAGGAAAAGGATAATTAACTCAAGAATAACTGAATATGGAAACCTGGAGTGATGGTAAACAGTAAGATTTGTACTAAACAAACTTCTCCAATTTGGAGAAGACATTTCAATTATTTTTTCTGCCTGTCTGCCATGTTTTTCACCAGAGGCACTTAGTGAAAGCAGGCACAGCCACCGGACCTCAGTTTCCCTTGGTAACTGAGAATACTGATAACAATGCAGCTGTAGCTATAATAGAACACTTTGTATGTTTGCAGTAAAACTCTCAAAGTTAATCAGAAATATTGCATTCAGGAATATATGCATCTCTCATCCAAACATGATGATGAATGCATATTGGGTTGTACGGAAGCTTGTATCGGTGCCTGCCAGTTTGATCTTGTGAGAGAGAGAAGAACTGCATAGGGAGCAAACTATATTTTTTGATTTTTTTTCATTAAATCAGCACCCAGTAGTTTTGAAAGTCTGGTATGCCTAAATTTGCTTTTTTGTTTAAGCTTTATATGATGTGTGGCACACATCCAAAGATGATGTCTATTTGGAAGTGAAATATTTAATAAGCAGCTACTAAAACTTGGTCAGTGTTTGTATATTCCTCATTTTTGTACAAGGAACAGTAATAAAACCTCTCTTCATTTTGACTATACTGCTCAGTCAGAGCTTGCTTACAAAAACCCTACTAAACATGTTTATAGCGAGTATTTTCGTAAGACTCACTACACCACCACAACAAATAGCAGTGTTTCAGTCCAATATTTATTGTCAGATAGCTTTAGACTACAGCACCACTTAAATTCCTGCATTGGCTCTGTCTGATGAAAGTACCCAGACCTTTGTATTTACCTAACTTCATGAGACTACTTCCCAAGACAGTTATGTTTCCATGAGACTATGACACACACAAATACGCAGAAAGTAGCTGTCATAGGAATCAAATTAAATTATGCAGGATGTGAATGGCTAAACAGTGCACTGCATTCAGAAAAAAATTAGATCTATTCAGGATTTTTTTATCCCCCCCCCCCCAAACATCTTACCAATATATGTAAACAGTTATGCTGCCAAATAACAAGGAATGCTTAGGAACAGGTGTTTAACAATGTGAAAGAGGTCCATTATTACATAATGAGAATCTGGAAACAAAAAAATTCAAGAACAAACTCGAATGTGAAAGAAGCTGTTCATGCATAGATTCAGCACAGGAAAAGGAGCAAAAGCAGGTGTGGCAATAAAAAAGTGGTGCATGAAAACCATTACTGGCAGAAAGAGATTCAGAAATTTAGTAAGCATTAAAAATGAAAATTGCACATAATCCCAAAAGGTCAGGGGAGGAACTGTTAAAATTTCTCTTAAATTATCTATAGATTAATAATGGGCAGCCCCAAGAGTTATCCTCCAAGAGCAGATCTTTCTGAAAAGACAAGACCATGCCAGATAATCAAAGGTGGGGGGAACAGACTACACCACATTTCTGCATCTGCTGCCAACCTTAACACCACTTCCACCTGAACCAAGCACATTCCTCCATCCTTGTTCCCTGGCTCTGTTTATTCGTTCCATCTGAAGGAGAAAACAATACAGGAAAACAAAATTCAAGGAACCACTAAGTAAAAATTGAACTTCACCATTAACACATTTTAAACATATTTTACCCTTTCTTTTTCCAATCTTCTCGTTTCATCTGCCTTCAGTAAACTGATCTGAAATACGTAAGGATTAAATGTGTTTAGTAACTGGGAAATCAAACTACTACATATTCTTACACAATACACCACACCACAAGGTATTTCATTAAAATTACTATGGGGGAAGAACGGAAAGTCTCAAGAATCTCGTCTACCTGCTCTCTCTGGCGTCTTTCTTTTTCAGGCAATTCTAACCTTTTCTTTTTTGAAGGTTCCTGAAAAATAAGCATATAATTTGGTATTTATTACTGAGCCATTACTCTGTCAAGTCTCTGTCAAGATGGGTTATTGCTCCAATCCATGAAGATTAAAAAGAAAATAAATATCACTGCTATATAATGTTTGGGAAAAAAGATGAGGAAAGGTTTGAAGGTTGTATTTTGTCATTCTTGCTTTGGACTTAGATTCTGCTTAGTTTGAAAATTAAGAGATGATTTTATGATACCTCAAACATTTTACTCCTTTCTTCTAGGAGTTGGAAAGGTCTGCATAAAAGGTGAACTTCAAATTAGACAGTATGATGCAAGAATGAGAGAAAAATTCTAATCAGAAAAAAAATCTTAAAACCACAACTGAGTGTACACAAAATGGGGCTTAAAATACTTGATTATTCAGGAGGTTTTAAGTAAAAAGCACTGCTAGGAACTAGGGGTAAATGCTATTGTACTTGTTCATCCTGTACTAAAAGTTCTGTCTCAAAAGCAGAAGGCAATAATTTTTAAATCTATTTTGTCTTAATTTTTCTTCTCTGGTGGTATCACTCCGCATTACAACCTTTTCTCAGTAAGTCTTTGAGGGTGCCTGGATATTAAGATTCTCTTATTTGAAGAAAAGATGTGTTAGGTTATCCTAGGGCTCTTTTGCTTGGTTCTTCACTTGGTTCTGACTCTAACCAAAGTTCCTGTTACGTGTGGAACATGAGAACACAGCCACCACTGAATACCTGCTGAAGCAGAAGCTATACTTAAAAGCATGCAGCTTACTCTAATCTTCTCAAAAATGCGATGGTTACTTTTAAAGCTTTTGTTTCTTTTGACCATACTAGAATGCAGAAAGCTTAACAGTATTTTCTTTTGACAACCTACAATCCTGTCAAATGAGTACTTTAAAATCAAGAATGGTGAAAGTCAGAAACTTTCAGAGGCTTGTAATACTGTAATGTTAATGTAATACTAAACAAAAGAGATGATTGTTACATGCTCCTTTAAAAAGCCAGTTGACAGCTGCAAGTTCAGAATACCCTGGAACAACAAAGAGAATAAAATTTATATTACACTGTAGCCATTGTTTCTATGCTACATTTTATCCCTTATCACCAGGTACAACTTGCAAAAAGACTGTCTTAAAATTGCAGTGTTACTGACTCTACATGCAGGAAGAGTAGATACTTCCTCAGTCTCTTCCCTGGCATTTTAGGTCTCTAGGCAAGATGGATTGGTGTTGGCTGGTGAACCTGATTATAAAGAGCAGCAGATGGTTGTGCAACCACATCTTCAAACATATAAACCTCGTGATCTCATAAGGACACACAAGAAGTCTGCACCTTCCTTTCCTCTTGCTCGTAAATGTGCATCACAAGCCAACAAGGCTTGTGTGATCAATGAGCTTTTCTCTAAACCTCTCATAACTTTTTAACCTCACAGATAATTTGTATTTCAAGGATAATTTTCTATCCACCTATCAAATTTAACAGATGGATAGAGATCTTAGTATTATGTTCCCTGAAGTGCCACGGGGAGAAGGAAAAAACCCCAAACAAACCCCACAACAATATTACTTATTCAGAAGAAAATTTGAATTAGTTCTCCCTTGTTGAAATAGGAGCTTCTTGTTTGCTAGTTGTTTGGCAAGTGCATATAGCTCAATATTAGCTGTAACATAAACGTCTCCTGGCAATGTAGTAATTAAAGGAATAAAGAGAGAGAGAATAAAAGTTTTATATTATAAGGAATACAGAGAAGACAACTGAAGGAAAGATCGAAAGTACTGTATGAAGGTATACAGAAGACTATTTCTCATCAGCTCATGGAATTAAATCCAAGAAACACCTCTTCCAATTACACAGTTTCTCTGGCTGACAAAACTTTGTAAAATGGCTAAAAAAGTTTAAATGTTTTGAAAACTTGAGATTATTTTTGAATAAGGAAGAAAGATGCACAGATTCTTATCCAGATTCAATAATTTTGGTATGTCTGACAGACTTACAATATTTCTAAGAGTGGTTAACACCAACAAAGCAAATGAAAACATGCAAATGTAATTCAGCAGTGAATTTAAAACCCAAACCTAAGGTAGCAGTCTACAGAAATCATCATATTAAAATCAACTAAACAACAACAACAAAAAGATCAATAATGAAGCAAGCCAAGCATTTAAGCCATTAGTGCTACTTTCTCTGCAGGTGCATGTGTCCACATACCAAGGCATTTCGAAAAGGAAGGCATCGAATTTTTTTAACATTTAAATAAGGTATGAATAAAATACTTCAATTTAACTAACTTAGTTTCTTACCTGTCTAGATTTAGTCAATGGCTTCTTCTCATTAGGCTTTTTAGGTGCACCACAAGACTTCCTGATAGTTAAAGGCACTCCATATTTTGCAGCAGGTTTGGTAATTTTTTGAGCTGGTGCAACTGAAGTCAGTGTTTGTTCTTGACCTGGTCTTTTAGCTGAAAAGAAAAAAAAAACACCACAACAACAAAACCTGTTTTACAGCTATCTAGGCTGGCCAGTGTACCCTACTTCCCTCTCCCAAGGTCTCAGAGTAGCATAACTAGAGAAAAATGGGTGAACTGTTAACACTTCATTCACATGAGCTGATGCGTAATACCCAGCTGTCCAAAACACCTTGTCTGGTGAATTGAATTGGAGAACTGAAGCTTATTTCAGCTGCCATGCTTTATGATACAATTGTCACTCAACACACAGAAAAGTTTTCCTAATAGAATGGAGAGATAGCCCTGTCTCCACTAACAACACTGAACTGAAACCTGCAACACTACTGCCAGCAGAAAATGAGTTCTGGAAGAGCTTTGATGGCTTCCAGGGATATTGTTTTCCCTGTAGAGTTCCTGAAAATGTGCCAGTATTGTGGATTTGATTCTGTGTTATCAGGGCTCTCATACTACAGAATAGCAGGACAGCAAAACTATCAAAAGACACCAGAGCACTTACCACAGCTTCAAATGATTACAAGGAAATAAAATAATTGGGAAGGAAATCTAGGAAAAAAAAATGGGTCAACTATTGCAGGAAAATGAAGTACGGTAAGATCATCTCGACAAAACTAACCATGATCTACTTTGCTACCAGTAGCAGAAATTCTACTGAATTGGACTGAAGTCAGGGCCTTATCTTGGAACCTCTAACGAAACCTCCCATATTTTTTGCAAGAAATGGTACTTCTCATTAGCCATTTGTCATTACTAAGGGGTAAAAATAAGTCACATGATCACAACATAAATTATTTCCAGTATTTGCAGTCTACATTGTCTCCTGAAATTCTGGAAGCGTAGCATACTGCAAGAGGAAAGAGTACACTTCAAATTTTACAGGACCATAGTTTGTGTTTGCATCATTTGTACTCTACATACATCCAGCTCCTGAGGGGAGGAAGGTAAATTGCTTCCTCTCTCTTTTTTCCTGAAAATTCTACAGTCAGGTGTAAGAGCACACAACAAAAACCAACAAAAACCAAACAAATAAAAAAAGTAAAAGAACGAAGCTACACACACACTGTCTTGCCAGAGCTGAAGGCAAAGCACCTTACACATCCACTTACCTGGTGCAGCATGTGGTCCAAACTTCTGGAAAATTTTGTGATTGAATTCTTCTGCAATAAGCTAAACAGAAAGCTGAAGAGTTAGCCATCAGCATTTATGACTGAAGCTAGAAAGAACGTATTTTCAGAGAAGTTTGCCATTCTCAGTAAGCATCTAACTAGTAGTATTTACTGAAACTTAAATGAATACTCAACTTCATGTATTCAATTTTCAACTTTACGTATTCTACTTACTAACATGAATATGAGGCTGGATTTAGTATTTGCAAGCATTTTTGGCATAATTACTCAAATAATTTAAAAAAGCAACTCAGTCTGACTTCTGGGTGGCAAATGTTATTTACAAACTAGCTAAGAATCTAGAAGAAAGTTAATGTGAGCATTAACATAGCTTTATGCATAATTCATTTTAGATTTCTGACTAGTTGCCAAAGTTAAATTTCTCATACAGTTTGTGTCAAGTGTTTGCAGCTTTCAAGTTTCACTGTCCTTTTCAAGATGGAAAGATGAATACATATGTGGGTATCTACAAACAACATATATGGCATGCTGTTTGGCATGTCAAATTAGCATAATAAAATATGGAAAACAGCCTTACTGGAGTGAAAAATTTGAGTCTAGACAAAGAACATTCAAACATTAGTAGGCCATAATTTTAAATACTGCAGGTGGTTCTGAACCCAACACCTCAAGAACCACAAAGTAGAAATGAAAAAGATTCAAGGAAGAGCAGCAAGGATAAGTGCAAAGTGTCAGTTAAGAAACAGTTTTTATAGATTCTTGAACTATCCAGATTACTTTGACTTGTTTAGAGACTACCAGTCAGTTACAACGGATGTTGAGGAGCTAAAAGCTCAAAAAAAACCAAACCAAAACAAGAATCAATGTGCAGAACTTACGACTCCGCACGTGATGGTAGAAAAAGTTTTTAACCTGTACGGTCTGGCATCAAAGATTCTGTAAGCAAGAAGTTACACACGAGAACAGTTTCCTACTAATGTTATTTCATTGATCTTAAAGCTTTTATTTGAGTGGTAAGTTGTAACATCTGAAGTATGATGTTTCCATGATTACACAGTTACTGACAGAAAAGAAACTTGACTCTTCAGTACCTTCCAAAGAGCCCCTCCTTTTTAAAAACAACTATGCTAATTTAGATTCACTCTTTACTGCAACTTAGTAACTATGAAGATTACAAAAGAATTTACATAAAACTGGAAGACTGCTTTCCTAACATGTAAGAGTAGGGTTTCAGCAAGAGTTGCAACACGTTGAAGATGTTAGCTACGAAATAACTCTTAAACTTAGACTAAAGAAAACAGAGGACAACAGTATTAGCCATGGATGATACTGAAAGAAAATAAGTATTACAGCTGCGTCAGAGAATACACTGCCACTGTCACAGAATGTAATGACCACCTCCAGCTGAATATGTAAAAGGTGCTTTCTGTGTGATTTGGGGGTTTTTTGGTGGGCTTTTGTGGTGTGGGGTTTTTTTGTTGTTGGTTTTTGGTTTTTTGGGGGGGTTTTTTGTTTGTTTGTTTGTGGTTTTTTGGTTGGTTTTTGGTTTTTGTTTGTTTGTTGTTGTTGCTTTTAAGACTGGATAGCACCTCTAAGTCAAACATGTCAAAGATAGAGGTGGAAAAATTGTGCACAAGTATTCATATTCTATCTAGGACAAATTAGTATCACCATCTGTTGATAGAGGCAGTCGATTACTAATTATACTTTGATTAACTACAAATAAAAATTTCATATCCATTCTAGTAACTGGAAACAAAATCAGATCAAACGACTCTTGTTGCAAATATTAGAACAAACTTATCTGTTAAGATTTCTGAATCTTACCTTTCATTGAGACTTTAATCTGAACTATTATTAGTTGAAAGTCTATTTACAGACAATAGAAATTCCAGTTATGTATGGCCTCTCATGACATTTCTTTAGTTGTAAGAATCCATTAGAATTCTTTATATTGCATTTCCTCCATGTCCTTTCTCTGCCTTTATTTACCCCATATCAGTACTATTCACATGTTAATCTTGATCTCTTTTGGTTAGATTTATAATAAAAGGACATTAATAGACATCAAATGATATCGATAGATTCTAAACAGAATAGCAAGCAACTTCTTTGAGGTTATATACAAATGATACATTTAAATATCAAGAAATTTTAAGATTACTTTATGTAGCAACATTTCCTAGAACAGGTTCTCAGGTTGTTCCAAATTCCAAACAAAAAATGGATTGAAGTAATTCAATACAGCAGTGATGCTGAAATCATTGAGAGCACCATTTTATGAGAAGATACATATTTAAACAAATCAACATGTCACTCACAATTCCTCACGATACAGAGAAACATAAAACAATGCACTTCAGAAAATGCCAATTTAGATTTACTCATGGAAACTACCGAACACTTAATTTGAGACTCTTCTTTACAGTTCAGAGTAAAATTATTTTTTCTTTAACTGACACTGTCTATAAGAGCTCATGTTGTATATTAACATCAGAATAAAGAAAAAGGAAAGTCCTATGATGTTTTAGAGAAGTTAGAATTAAAACAAACTCCATACCTCTGGTGTAAGAAATTTTTCAACCCGTTTGGCTATAAAGTTTTTCTCCAATATGGAGTTTACTGATGGTCTATTCCTAGGATTCCTTTTAAATAACTGTGACAGCAGATTACGTAGGTCATAGGAGTAATGCACAGAAACAGGAGGAAACGGTCCAGAGATTATCTTCAGTACTAAGTTCTTCATGTTACCGGCTTCAAACTGTATCACACAAGGAAGAAAACAGTTACTACATATTACTGACTGTGTGTCCACACGCATGGCTGCATATACAGATGATGAGGAAAACTAACAAAGCACCTTCCCTTGCTTCAACATACCAAAACATATTTTCAAAGTGATCAACAGTTTACAGCAGCAGTTTAAAATAATCTGTCACCAAAATAACATATAACTAAGAAAAATAATTACACAATTATTTGCTTGATCTCCTCTACCAAACATTTTCAACCACCACATGCCTTCTGCCCTTTTCAGTAAATCCACATTTCAAATGAAAGAATGCAAAGTATTCACACTCGTTCAGCGTGAAATCCGAAGGAACGCTCAGACTTCAGTTTAAGCTCAGGAAACAGAGGGCACCATTTCAATTCATTTGTACAATTAAAAGAAAACAATATATATCACACAGCTTACAGAAAACAACTTGTTGCCATCAATTCTCAGAAAGGCAACATTGTCAGCATTGTTGTCACATAAAAGACTAAGCAATAAGAAATTACAAAAGCTTGAAATGAAATTAAACCCTTATCCCTTGGAAACTTTTTTCTATTTTCATGTTGTTATGATCTTTTTCTTTTAATAAAAATAGCTACTAAAAAAACTCCAAAGAAGACAAAATCTACAAAAAAATCCAAATCAAGATACACAAAAGAAAAGTTTTTCTTCCCTTCCTAACGGGAAAATGGATGATAAAACGACACACACGCATAGAGGAGGGGGAGGGAAGGCAACTCTTCCACCATGGGAGTTTTTTTCTAAGCATTATTCCTGTTCTAAACAGAAATTAATTCATTTGCACAAAAACTGAGAGTCCAAATTCAGACTTTCAGTGAAGTCAAGCATTTTGAAAAAAAGAAACACTGTTGCTGGTATCCTTTGTCACAAGACCTAACAATTTTTTCAGCTGACACAATTCATTATTAACAAAAGTGCCAAGACTTCTGAGAGAATGGAACGAATCAAAACGCCAAAGGAAAATGGTGGTTGGCACAGGAAGTGGAGATGAGAACGCTGAAGGTAATTTCCAAACAGTTATAACGAAAACCTTTCATCAGCTAAAACGCATCTATGCAACATCAGAAAAAATTTCTGTTTCAAATAACTGTTCTTTTATAGACACACCAAGTTTGTACTCACCGCATGTTTAAGTGTGCACATTTCATAGAGAACACAACCGAGGGCCCAGATATCACTAAATCAAAGAGAACATATCTTAACAATTAGTTCTAGGTGTAACATTGTCAAGTAAATTATATCTGTGAAGCCTATCTTTGAAAAGGAAAAGACTGTATTTTGAGTGTGTACAAGTTTCCCTGTATGGACTTCTTTGACCCCACAAAACCCTGAACAACAACAATAAAAAAAAAAATTCCACAACCAAAAATAAGGTCAACCTGAAAACTAGATGAGGCCATTTTGGCTTCAGATTTAGAAATTTTCATCTGAACCACCCTAAACACAGAAATTAGACAAAATATGGAAAAAAAGTCTTTTTTCTTTAAGTATATACAGTTGCCGGAAGTTTTTGAATTTAACAAACAAAAAATCAAACAAAACTCACCACCTAATTCAGCAAATACATGTCTAAGTCAATTTACTCTGTTTAACACTGACCACCTTACCCTCACTCATTACAGGATTACAGAATTTAGTTACAATACCACTGGATAATAAATCCCACGTAGAAGCAATTAAGGGGTGAGGTATTAGAACAACTTTTATCTTTTAAGAAACCAACTGAAATTAGTATAGAGCACTCACAGAAATGAATGCAGCAGCTTAGTGCAGTGTAAGGGTAACTTGATAACAACTATTTTAATTACACCAGGGACACTGTTACCAGATACAGCTTACTGCCAGGGCAGCAAGTGTGTAAGTGAGGTACCTGTAGGACTTTGTTACCTGGAGCAAGCTGAGACACCCATCTATGCATGTGTTTAGAGAATCAAATTACTGTCTTTCATCATTAACAGTTTCACATTTGTAGTGCATAAATTAGGGCAGTAAAACAGACAGGCAAGAGTAGAGTCATAATTAAGAACACAGCTAGATCTAAAACTTCAAGCATTAAGCTAAGTCATCTCTGCATCACATTGCTTTCTACTGCAGACCTACTAAGATCCCACTTGTACAGTGAGGCTCAGTATCTACTGGGGTAAGAGAAAGACTAACAGCTGTTCACTATCATAAGACTAGATTCCTAAAAGAACTGTTTTTCTTCTCCTTAACAAAAGTTACCTTTTATTATTGTAAGGCTTGTTCTGACATATTTCAGGCGATAAATAGTATGGTGTTCCTATGCAAGTGCGAGCCAACTCTGCAGTACTAAGAAAAAAAATAAGAATGGATGTTAACTGGTTAACTCACATGAAGTACAGATTGTGTTTTCCTTGATCAAAGCGACATAGATTAAGTGAGAGAAAAAACAGCATCAAAAAGGAGTTACCTGTTAAGAACTCTGGCGATTCCAAAATCTCCCAGCTGTATTGTTCCATCTTTGGTTAAAAATATATTCTTGATACAGAAATGTTAAGAAGTCTGTTAATTAAAATATTCATACAATTGCACACTTTTTGTTCTCTATATGTTTTGGGAAAAAGAAAGTTTTCTACCATCCAATCCCTCTTAAGTCACTGGCAGTAGTGCTATTGACTACTGTGGAACACCAGACTTATTCTAGTCCTACTTCATTAAAATAAGAAAATACTACTGTACATTCTCAAACATAACCTTTCCTGTCCCCTCACAAATATATGAGTAACACTCAGGTAGCTTCATCAGATAGCCTCATCGGTTTGTAAAAATATCATATAAACCTCTTGCAGACGATTCTGAAGAAGTGTTTCCAGTACTAGAAATGTTTACATAAAATGACTGTTTTCCATAATTTGCCAACTTACACTAGCAAGACATGAATTTAATCACTTTGGAAGTAAATTCAGCTGAAAAACAGTGACCTACATACCTGTGACTTTATGTCCCGATGCAAGATTTTTCTATCATGTATGTGTTTTAGTGCTAAACAAATCTGTACGAACCAATCCAGAATCTATGCATAAAAGAAAATGCAACATCAGCATCACCACTAATCTGAAAGCTTCTGCACTTACAAGACACTATCAAATCAGTTTTATAATTATAACTCCAGATTTTACCCTCCTCCCCCAAAGTCTTCATTTATGCTGTAGAATAATTAAAAATTTAAAAGTACTGTCACCATTATGCAAACCTTTTAATGAAGGATGCTTATTACCCAAATTTGATATTAAGCTTGAGATTATGATTTGCATTATATATTATACATGCAACAGAAGTATACAATGTGAATTTGATTGGCTAAAATGCCTAAGATGTGGAACTTGCAAGTTAAAACATTGTACTTTTGCTGTAACCAATACGGCAAACCTTGCAGTCAGTTAATTGACCAAGGGTCCTAGAAAGTCATACTGATATTCACAGAAACACTTATTCTATCATATAGTAATTTTCTGTATCTTACCTTAGAAAGAAAAATAGTACAAAGTAGATTTCGATGAGAAAAGCAACAAGCATCTAACTAGAAGATTATAAACAAGCCAATAAAGTCTATTTTTAAAAAAAAATTGGCAAAAATCACAATTTAAGGAGTGACTAACGACAAGAACTTTTCTATGTGAATAATGGTTTCACATTCCTAACTTAGAAGGATGTAACACGACCAAATTACAGTATAATTCAAGGTGTAATTCTCACTTTTCAAGCTTCTCGTAAAAGTGAGGTCAAATTAGAAAAATGAAAAGTTTTTCAAATTATATCCAAAATATTTTATGAATACCCTATTCTAAATACCACTAGTAGACCTAATAAATTATTAAGCCTTTCCAATCACAGGTAAATTGAGATCCTACTGGATGAAGACAAAAGGGCAAAGAAACAATTAATAAACAAAGAAACATACGTCATTTCTAACAAAAAACCACCCTGACCCTACATAATCTATTTTCAGCTAATTTAATCAAATCTCTACATAAAATCCTCTCATTTATTCCAAACTCTCCCACTTCCCTTCTACTAAAATAACTTTATAACCAGTTTTGTGGAAAAAGAAAATTTGTTGGTATATTTCCAATATAAAATTAAATTTCTGTCAATGGGAAAATAAACTTTTGAATGATGCCAACTTCATATTTCCATATTCCATATTGTTATACTTACAAAGTATGCTATTTTATACTTCTAATACATGACAATCAGTATTACAATACAAAAATCATAAGCCATTATATCTTTAAAAACTCTACTTCGAAGGTTTAAAAATATCCCTGTTGTCCTTCAGTATTTTTCATTTCTCAAATCTGGTTTACTTCACAACCTGTTTAAAAGCATCTTACACATACAGACAAGATTCCAAGTAAGATACCCATGGCTCCCGGGACTATGTTTTCTTTCTGGTTTTCCTTTTTGACAAGGGTGAGGGGTGTTTGTGTTTTGTTTGTTTCAGTTTGGTTTTGCTTTTTTTTAAAGATACTACTGTGACCAAGGGCAACAAGAATGACAATTTGAGGACCTCCTTTTAGATTAAGCAACCACACCTACAAAGTGAGCCAAAATAATTTAAAATTCACGAAAAAGTATCCTGCAACAAAACACTATAGCAGTAGTTTGCTGTTACCTGATCTTCTGAGAATAATACTCCTTTCTGGGCATTTATCTTTTTAAATAGGTCTCCTCCTTCACAGTAATCCATCACTATGTAGAGGCAGCCATTTTCTGTAAAATAAAACAAAGAATTTAAAAAAGACAACTAAAAGACCCATATTTACATAACTTTCTGAATATCTTCACTACAGTCACAGAAAACACAACAAAAAACCCCAACCTTTTCGCATGCAGCTTCAGATATAATTTGTTAGTCCATAAATATTATTATTATTATTATTATTATTATTATTTTGAGTTTCACAACCTACATCTCCCATTTTTGTTAACATCAAACCATTTTGAGATACGGAGAGAAAAAAAATTACATCTGCTGAACCAATGCCCCAAAATGGCATTCAAAACCACCATGAAATTAAAGGTGTCACTTTATGAACGCAATATAAAACCATCTTCAAACTGCTTTCAAACATCCTATAGGTCCCTACCCTAAAAATAGAGATCTTAAGTTCTAATTTAGGTAGTTGCCTCTATTTGCCTTGCTCTTTCTTGGAGTATTACCTGGACTAGGCATTACTCTAAGTGCAAGAACATGAAAATCATCAGCTCTCATACTAGACATGCAGTTTATTTCAGAGCCTGAAATAAGCAGACAATGAGAGATGGAAACAATTATTTTCTCATTTTTCAATTGAATTTGGGGAGAATTCAAAAAATCCTATGCAAGTTTCCAATAGGAGATACGATGATGTATTTCATTCAAAGTTACAGATTTGTTGACCAATGCAATCTTTGCAAGTTATTGATGAAAAAACAGGTTAAGCAGAAGCAAATTGCAAGTTGCCAAAAACATAAGAACTATGCTCCTCACATCCTGGGCATGATTTTGAGAAGAGCTAAATAACTGCAAAAAAATCAATCATGCTGCTCAAAATAAAAGCTTTTATTTTATGAAAAAGTTAAGCACTTAAGCTGTAAATTAAAATCTAGAGAATCATCTAGGTCACTTCAATTTCACTCCCACAGAACGCTTCTGAAATCTGTCTTTCAAAACATTGAACCCTTACAGCTGTATCTTGGTTAAGCTTTATAATCAGTGTTATTTCAAAAGATGATCTCAGAAGTCTGGATTTCTTGTAGACCTGTAGCTGAAATAATTCTCTTATTTTTAAACCGAATCAGTATATTCAAAGTCAATGTGTTTTAGCAATAAAGGTGCAACATGAAGTCCTGTGAATTATGGACTGCAGGGTTGACCCTGTAAGAAATAAACAATCTTAAAAAACAGGCCTCTAAGACAAAGAAGGCAGAAGCATGGATTTATAAACAGAAGACTATGGTCATATAATATGATTACATAACAAAAATCTAATTTAAAGAATGAAGAAAATAAAAGCCCCCAGGCAAAAGATACATGAAAGTAAGCTGAAAGGAAGTAAAGGAGAAGAGAGCGCTGTCCCTAAACAGTATTTCAAATAATTTTAGAGTGGTTTTAAATAATATTTTAATGTATATGATAGGTTTTTGGAATCTTTTATTTATTCTGCTCATTTCTCCAGCCATTCACTGTGAAGACAATGTGGAATTATATTTCTCCTTCCTTCATATCTTGATGAAGTAAACAGTCCCATCTATTTTTCCACCTCTGAAAGCAATTATATGATTGCAATTACTGAAGACTGCATTCTAAGACAACAAACTCAGACATGAAACTGCTCTTGCTAGGTAATCAATACCCAAACTTAGACTGTTCTCGTATTTAACCTACAAAAGCCCTCCAATTGCTAGGGTACCTAAAAGTATTCCAGGAGACTTATGCTCTGGAGAAACAAGAGAATATCTTTCATATAAGTATCAAACAAAATCAAAGCATGTAGGGATAATCATGAATACCTCTGTTTATTTGTTGCCCTTTTTTTCTAAATTACACTTGAAAATGTGCATTGGAATTGTGAAAAAAATACAGTGCAAAAGAACTGAAATAAATAATAAAGGTATGAAAAATACTGATTAAAGAGAGGAAACACAGAGTTTTAAACTAAATGCAGCAAGCAGTGTACAGAATTGGCTTATTGGCACTACTTCAGATTCTACTGTATTAGTTAATCTTACCTTCAAACGACTCCCTATAGAGGACAATATTCGGATGTTTCATGTTAGCCAATACAGCAACTTCTCTCCTTGATTCTTCTCTTTCCTTATTTGACATCTTCAGAAGGAAAACAATGATTTTTGAGAACAGAAATACAAAAAGAATGGATCAGGAATGAATAATAATAACTCACCTTAGAGATGTTTATTTCTTTAATAACATACTGTTGGCCATTTTCTTTAGCTTTGACAAGTATTGCTTTCCCAAAGGATCCTTCTCCAATCTTCCGTACTTTAATATATTTATCCATAGTTATCTTCTTAAGGCATGCTTACTTGAGTACTAGGCAAAAAAAAAACCCACAAAAAAAACCACAACCCAGATTTAGTTAGGTGTAATTAGTCATTTAGCCTGACAGGTCAGGCTACATTTTTTTTTAATCAAAATGTTAATCAATTTGTCTCTTCAGTTGCTTTTGTGGAAATCACCTACTCTTAGTCTCAATTCTATTTTAGTACAGTTAACTCACTTTGGGCCAAAAAGGGCTACATTGCTAAAACCTGTTTAATTTTTCATTTTGACTAAAACGATGTGTTCTATCTTTAAATAAAGCAAGCAGTCAGTGTCATAGCTTCTGATTCAGCTGGTAAGCAAACATCATAGGGACTTATAGCACCTGGGCAACAATCCTTCATTCCATTTTACTTGGAAGAAATACAACAGGGGCAGAAGGAATCCCTACATGTTGTTTCTTAAGAAGCACTAAATCCAGTACTTTGGAAATTAGATGATATATAGAAGAAAAAAATGGACGAAATTCAACAGATCCCCATCAAGTTTAGAATCATTATTCAGTACAGCAAGGTGTGCCTTAAAGTCTGATTGAAAGACTTTTTTCGTGTTGCAAATAAATTCATTACAAAATAGTGAGAATCATTATTTTTAATGTACTATCTGACCATTTAGACTACCTTCTGAGATCAAATGGAGTACTCAGCTGAATGTAGATAGTGTTTAAGTTTCTATATTAAAAACACTTTAGTAAAAACAAGAGACTAGAGAGCTGCACGTGAAAGCTATTGCTAGTGTCAGAATAGCAAAGAGACTTGGCAAAACAAAGACCAAAGCAAAAAAATGGCAAAACAAATTCACGGTAGACTAAAAGATCATATTTTCTACAGCAGAACTGCCACACCCTGAGGAAGTTTCCATAAGCTGAAAAGACAAATGGTGCCTATGCTTTTCTGCATCCAAGCCTCATTTGCAAGCACTAGCAGCATTTATGCTTTGCTGTATCCAGCTTACTCCCAACAGGAGATCCTAGCACCTTAGATCCATACTTCACACACATCACAGGTCTCACAATCTGGGTCTCTTCCTGATTTGGGTTCATTTTTTTCCCACAGAGTTACCGCACACTGGACACAGATGCTGCTTAAAAGAATGCATACCATGAAAGCAGACTAAAATGAATAAGCTTGACTAGTATAGAAAGACAAAACAAAAGAGATCTGAAGCAATCTGTTCTGCAAAAGAGATGGGAAACCTACTAGGACTAAACATAACTACCAGGAAATGAAAAAGTGAAAATTACAGACTTGCAATGTCTTAGTGAGAGTTTTTTCTTAAAGTAGAGACAGTTTAATCTGAAGTTGCATTTCTAAATATGAGAAAGACTTGGTATTAACTTCAATATTCTCTTTTGGGCGACAGTAAAGTACAGCAGGTGGGACACAATTTGAACTTCACATGGCTTTACTGAAGTTCTCTTCCTTCTGCTTTCTGAAACAACCCGTTGTTCTACAGCTAAACCAGCTGCACTAGGCGTAGCTCAGGGCTGCTACCGCATGCTGCTCCGTGCAAATACAAATGGTCAATAATCAGCCTGCCTGCAGTTCAGCAAAGGGCGTGTATATCTTCTATAAGATAGAGGTCTTATTTTTACACGTGAAAAGGGAAAAAGCGGCGTCTTGAGAAAGGACATCAGCACCGACAGGGCGTTGGCTTTTCCAGCCCTGGACAATAAGTCATTTCATCCACCACGGACACGCAGGAAAGCAGTAGAAGTCACACCCCGCGACAGCCCGGCCGACCCGAGCGCACGGCCAGGCCAGGGCTGGGCCGGGCGTGCGAGCAGCGGTGCGGCGCGGTGCGGTGCCCGCAAGCAGGGCAGGGGAGGGCAGGGCAGGGCAGGCCCCCGCTCCCCGGCCGGGCCCCGCCAGGCCGCCGCCCCCGCACAGCTGGGGCAAGCCCAGCAACGGGGCGAGAGGTGCGGCCGAGAACCCCTCGCCCCAGGGCGGCTGGGAGAGACTCCGCAGGAGGACGGCCCCGCGCCCCATCTCCGCCGTGCCGCGCCCCGCCACAGCACCGTCCTGTGCCCGCTCCGTGCCCGTGCCCGCCCCGCCATACCTGCCCGCCGCCGCCACAGCCACCCAACCTGGCCCCGCGCCCGCCAAAGCCCCGCCCCACCGCCCCTATTGGCGGCCCCGCCTCTCGGCTCGGCTCCCATTGGGCGAGCCCGCACAGGGGCGGGGCCGCGGCCCGGCCCGCCCTCTCCGCGTTAGCGGTGCTTCACCCTGGTAACGCGCGCCGCGGGTCACGTGACGGGCGGGGCGCGCGGGGTGGCTGTCAGCGGTTTCGGGAGTGAAAAACCAAAAACCGGCTACAAGTGTTTCACGAACGAACCTAGCGGGACCCACAGCACCGCACAGCCCGGCACCGCCGGTACGAGTCTGCCCACGGACAGCCCCGGGGCAGGGTCCGTAGAGGGACGCGCGCCCCAGCAGAGCTGAGCGCAGCGCTCACCGGGGCGGGCCGGGCCGGACCTGCGGCTCCTCCGCTCCCGACCCCACAGCGCCTTTATGACACCTACGGGCAAAGCCTCCAGATTCACAACGCACTTTCTCAGTCCGACTGCCTCGATCCATCACCTGGTGCGCACAGTTCTTAGCCTTGCACAAACGGACCAGCGGGCATTTTCCTTGGAAAAATAATCCACCCCTTTCCCTTTAGCTGCCGCGCTTTTCTGGAACCTGCCTTCTGTCACTGTGTGCTAAGCTAACCCTTCACTAGCCTCAGCACCTCGGCCGAGCAGTTCCGTGCCCAGCCCGACACCTGTGTTTCCTCTGCAGGTAAAACCCTTATGCTCTCGGGGCCCCGCAGCGCCTGCTGGTCTGGAATTCAGAGACGGTGGGTTCAGCCCGCAGCCGAACGACGCCGCGATGTGCCCAGCACCTCCCTCCCTCCTGTACCTGGGAAACCGCCTCCTCCCCGTTCTAAGCGCGAGGCTGTCCTGCCTCCCCCCGGGCGAGCTGCACCGCGGCACCCGAGCGCGGCCCGCGCCGCCGGGAAGCCGCGCCCCTCGGCGGGCGGGAGCGGGGCCGGCCCCGAGCCGGGCGGGCCGCGGGAAGCGGAACCAGCAGTGACGGCGCCGCTGACCCGCCGAGCGTGCGCCGTGCGAGCCCCGCCCTGCCCGCGCCGAGGGGGCGGTGCCGGCGGCGGAGCGGCCGCGGCTCCGGGGCCGAGCCCGTGTCCCGCTGCCGCTCGGAGGGAGGATGAGCCAGCGCCTCCCCGGGGAGCAGCGGGCGGCGCCGCCTGCGCAGGTACGGGACGGGACGGGACGGGACGGGACGGGACGGGGGAGGGCAGGGCGAGCTGGGCTCCCCCGCGGCGCGGCAGCGAGCGGGGCTGAGGCGGCGGGAGGAGGAGGATGGGGATGGGGAGGAGGGGAGCGGCTAGCCCGCAGCCCTCGTCCGCGGAGCGGCTGTTGCGCCCTCGTCAGCGAGATGGCTCCGTCTCGCAGTCGGGGGCGGGAAGGGAAGGGAACGTGGTGGTTCCCGGCGGACCCCTCTCCTGGTCCGCCCGCCTCCCCCGAGGGCCCGGGTAAGGCAGGAGTGCCCCGCGTGTTTACACGGCGTAACCACGGCGTGCCACCCCATCCCCGCGTTCCTCTGGGCAGCTCTCGTGCGCACACGGAGAGCGAGGGGCTCTGCGGCTGGGAAGGTCCACGGTCTCCTCCCCACGTAACCAGCGTTGGAAGGATTATTCCGCTCGAGTTGCTCGCTTTATGCTGGTTTACGGGTTAGGCTAGTAGGGCCGCTCTTACCCAAGGGGTGAGATAGTGGGCTCTCTCCTTGGAGCCTCTCAGTTAAATGAGAGTGCAGATCAGCGAGTTTAAAACTGAATATGGACTGCATTCTTTCATATTGTTTCCCTACTTGTCCAAAATCTTTCCCTTCCCTATCCAAAAACATGGGAATGGCTGTGAAACAAGTGTGTATCAATTCTCACCTAAAATGAACGTCTGAGAGTCTGACAGTGGAAAATTATGTGCTGATAGTGAACTATGTTCAGTGTAGCATGGTAAATTTGCTGTGTCACACTTAAAATACTAAACTAAATTTGGGCCTTACAACCAAATAAAATGTTTCTGGTGCTAAACTATGTTAGAATAGATGCTTAAATACTTTTGGCAATGTGTCAGTAATGGTAATCGTCTGGGTGTTAGGACTTGCACCTCCTCTTTGAGGTTGTGGGACCTCTGAAGTTTATGATGCAGAGTTTTGAAAGAAATTGTCAGGTGTATTGGTGCTTTTTGCTTTCAGATGCTTTTCTTTCTGGTGGACCTGTGAAGGGTTTATGTTCTGTATCCCTTAGCAACAGATGCTTCTTTGCAGATACAGCTATTAGAATGAAGGATGTGTTGGTATGACAGATTTGAAAACAGATAGTCCTCAATACTGTTTCTCTGTTTAAGGAAATGTCAATAAGCTGTAATGTAAAATTAAAAAAAAAAGTGCGTTATCGGACATGTACCTTTGTGAAGTATAACAAATAAGTCCCTAGAGAACTCACCAGCTACCACTCTCATTTTTTCTAAGATAAGTCTTTCACTGACTAACTGCCTTAAATTTGATGTCTTGTCTCTTTCATTGGCAAGCAGATGTAAACTTGCTTCAAAGTTGTCATAATGGGAAGGAGTTCTGCTATGAGAAAACTGCAGGTAGCTTGAAACACAATGACTGTGCATCTGTCTGCAACAACTGTGAAAATAAAACTTATACAGTGTCCAGAAAAATGGAGCTTGTCTCTTGCTTGCTTCTGTTTAGTATTGGTATGTCAGTCCTAAAACAGTAAATATCATGCACATTGTGTATTGTAATATTTCTAGAAACGTATTTTGCTGATTGTATGATTCCCAAGGCTGTCTTTGCCCAAATTTTTGGTGTCCTCTCTCTGTAGTTTTCTATGCTACTATTCTCCCTGTGGTGCATGCTTGCAAGTTAAAGTAATCCTAGGAAAAATACCTTCTTTCTCTTAATATTAATTTGTAATAAGAACAACCCTATCCAAATTCTTGACTGGGAAAGACACTTGAAGCTGTTTGTCTTTGCTCTTTGTGACTGCATCACTCTGAACAACTGTATTTTATGAATTTGCCTGCATTTTTCTCATGACTATATTTGTACTTCTTCTTGTACTCTTTTCCACCCCAAATGTTTGTAGCAAACTGATGTTTAAATGCAAGTGAGAACCCACTGTGCACTGGTTATTCTATGAACACATGGGTCTAGCCGTGTAATATATGTTCTCCTGTTCACTGAATATACAGTTTGGCTCCCCCTCCCTCCACTTTGCTTTGGGGTCTCCATATGCGTGTATCTTACCTTGGCATTTGAACAGCAGAGTTGCATTCCTTGAGTGAAAGCTCTAAAGCTGGGACAAGTGTTCCAAGTTCACAACCATTGCCAAAAGGCATTCTAGGAACATTCAGATATTTTTTTCCTGCCCTTATTTAAGTGACTTCATACACGTGGATAGGTGTAACTGTGCAAATCAAGTTTTCAGGGTAAAGTTTTATAATAATTTGTAAGTAGGGATATTTTTAACTTGGTCATACTAAAAAAGTAGAATAGAAACCCTACTGCTGAGATTTGTGCCAGAATTGATAGTGCCAGTTTAAGTTCATTTCCTAATTCTCAGACTAGTTTGTGTGTTCCTAAATTTATTGCTTTGGCATCTTGACAACAGCAGTAACCCAGTAACTTCCAAAGGTTGTCAGCAGTGGCAGTAATCACGTGCATGGAACTGCTTACATACCCTCCTTGCTTATTTTCCCAAAACTAAGATTTCAGTTTAATGTCTGTGAGCTTCAAGAGCAAGTTCCCAATCCTGTCCTCCTTGTGTCAGCCGTTCCCTTATGTCATAACCTAAAAGTGCAGGTTCTGTGTTGGCTGAGTTCTAAAAGTTGTTCAGGTGTCAGGCCAGCTTTGTACCTGTGCTCATGAACGAGGAGGCTCTGTGACAGAGTAATTCACGCTTGTTTGTGTGCTGAGCTTGGAATATCAGAAAGTTGACAGTTACAAATTTTTATAGTTGTTAAACTTGAAACTTGGTTTTGAATTTTGGTAGCCTTTATAAAATCATCTGAGAGAATAATATCTAGAGAAAACAATACTCATTTAAATTGATTCTAATATGAAAGAGAGTTATAAACAGAGAAAAGTTTGCTGGGACATGTACTTTGCTTTAAAAAGATAGAAACTGAAAAATGTAAATTGTTGAGATAGTGGTTATACTTAATGATCTGATAATATCTGTTATTATGGGAGAAGAGAGTTGACAAAGTAATTCCTAGGCTTCATGCATAATAGAAAGGATTCTAGACAAAGCTGTTAGAACGGTTGCAAATCTGTTTACATCTGGAGTATCCATATTAGTTTGTATTATGTAGTAAGTAGTCTTGAATATATACTCCTGGAAATGAATGTAAAGAAGAGAATTCATAATTTCATAGTGGGTACTAGCAGTTATTTTTGTTGACTTGCAGAGAGTCTAGTGAGCTGTTCTCTCCTTCAACTTTTTAGGCATTCAACCGTTTTGTTTGTTAAGCATTTTCCTCAGGCTTTCTAGTTACAGGAGTAGACTATGCTTACTTTGGGAGGGTAAGGAGGAATAGTAAAGAAAAAAGTGAATTAAGTTTAGTCCTGAAGCACAGCCCCTTTGATAAAAATAACCTTTGCTGTTACTTTTTCTTATGTGTGGTATATTTTGATAAATTTCTCTAAAAAGTTCAGAAAAGAGAAAATACTGAAATGTGCATTTTGCATGTTCATACTGCAATAAAGTATAATGAAGAAACATTTCCTAATTGTAATAGCAAAAATGGCATTTCACTTCAGTACTTTATTTAAATTCCAGATAGAGCTACTGAGGTGACTTAATACTTTGACATCCTGTCAGTTAAAATTCAACTACTCTGTTTCCTGAAAGAGAAGTTTATGTTTGAGTTCCTTCTACTCTTATCTCCAAATTAGTGTTCTCTGCCAGATTTGTTGGATTTTGATGTTATCTGCAGTTCTTAATCTACTGCAGCTTTTCCCCTGAGTTTTCTGCTGTTAATTTGTCTCACACATGTGTTGGGGAAAAAAAATCAGTTCTCCCTATGCTTCCAAAACATTCATTTTCTCAGTTTGAAAATTTCCAAAGTAGGTATCTGTAGGAAAGGAACCTGAAGTTTTCTTTAATTGTTATTTGACTTTTTGCTGTTTGTCTTGCAGAAAACTTTTATTCTCATGTGAAAAACTACAAGAATATGTAAACACTTTAAATTATTATCAGTCTTATAGACTTAGCAGTTTTCTTCTGTTTTGTGCTGAGATGTGAATATTCTTCTAACTTATTTAGTAAAACTTTTAAGACAGTTGAGGAGACCTAACAATCTGTGTACTGAGTATATATGTTGTTACCCCTGTTACAAAATTGTCAATGTTTATTGCTCTTTAACAAATTTTAAAAAATGTTTTGGTTCTTTGGATGAGTAGAGGATGGATTATTTTTAATAAATTTTATCTATGAACCCAGTGAACTGACCTAATCTCCGTGGTTATATAACACTTTTAAGATAACTGACCTTCTTGTTTACTCTGTTACCTAGAAGCCTTTTAGTAAACTATTGGTGATTTTTTTTCATGTTGCTGTAATATTAAAAATCTTACATGAACACAATTTCTTTTTTTCTTGTAAAATACCCACCTTGAGTCTTGCTTTCAACTTGATACCAGTGTTGAACAGTAAATTTCCCCCTGGACTCTCCTACCAGAAACTTGTCTACCATTTGTAGACCCTGATAAAGTACACGTAATTTTAGAAGCTGCCCTTGCCAACCACTCAAGTAGGTTTTACAGCTGGAGAGAAGAATATTCAAGTGAGGGGAACTTGCTGTGCATTGAGAACTGCTAACA